GCCTCCTGCAAAATAGTTGTAAAATAAAAATAGGTAACATAACCTAAAACATTTTAAAAGCAAACTACACCTCACCTAGGAAAAAAATAACTAAACTAAAACTAAAGTATTACAAAACATTCCTGTTTCCTTTTCCAAGTACTTGTGATTTGCAATGACTTGATTATTTCTATGTTCAGATAAAATAAAAACGTTACTGTTTTGGTTCAGGAGTTGAATGGGTGTTTGTCCCTGTGTTGGACTGGAGACCTGTCCAGGGTGTTCCCCGCCCCTCGCCTGGCGACGGCTGGAGAGAGCAGCCCCTACGGCCCCCTAGTGAGGATTAAGCAGGTGAGAAGATGCTGAGTGAGTTTGAATGAATGAGTGAGTAAAATAGTTTTCAATAACCGTAGCAATACTGCCACCTCCTGGTGAGATTGGATAACACTTGATCAGCACATGATTTTGTAAATATGATCCAGTCCCAGAGGCGTTCCAAAGGATCCCACATCTTCATAAAACTAATGCAGAAAGATTTTACTAAAATGCAAAGTGTTTAATAAAATAAGATTTAAAAATTTAAGTAGCTTAAGTTTATTTCACACAGTCAAGTCTAAACAATGTAGCTTGAAATGTAAAAATAACGCCTCATAAAATGTGTTTTGTCATGTTTACATTAGGAGACACAAAAGTCCACACAACAAAAAAAACTTTTGCAACCATTGTTTTTAATAGAAACATTTTATATTCTTTAAACCAGACAACCAGATGCCAGACATTTTGGGATATATTTAAAAAACAAACGGAAAAAAAAGAGGACACAAAATGGAATCATGGTTTGTGGATTTAGTGGTCTCATATACAATACTCTTTCTTTCTGTTGCCAAAAAGTGCAAATTCTCTCAAAACATAAATCACCAATGTAGCCCCTGCAGCTTCAAAAAGATATGGACTTACAGATCTCTATTTATATAAAACAAAACACACACACACACACATGAAAGTAAAGGTGTTTAAACATCCCCACTGAATCACACAAGGGGAGAAGTGTTTTGCTGCCCTCTGTGGGTTAAAACAAAAACCAGAAAACATAACATGTACAGTATGTTACATGTGGCTGCGGTCCGTTCACTTAGTGAGCAGGTATTCTGCCTTTGGGATGTGCTTGTGAAACACAAAACGGGGCGTGGTCAGCTTAGCAACAGACAGAAAACACACACCGATTTGGGCAGATGTTCTCGGTCTTGTGTGGTTCAGTGTAGAAACAAACGTTCAGATTTGAGAAGCTCTGCCACTTTAAAATGTTCACAAGATTAAAGAACAAAAACTAAAGACTTGTAATGATCACAGTTACAATTCCATCTATAAATAGTAGACTCTTACTTCTCTCCCAAGTTTAACCATTTAATGAGCTACTGAATGCTTATGATCAATATTAGTCTTCACTTTACTGCAGTGATTGGGATTTAATTGTGGTGGACATTAAGGCCAAAATACTTTTCTGTGCTGATTTGTGAGCAGTAGTCATTTTATAATCATTAAGCTTTATTCAGATACCAGATCCAGCCGTTCCCCTCGCAGAGTTAATGCAGAGCCAATCCGAGGCGGATATACCGCTGCATGTTTAGCATTCAGCACAGCCAGAAAGCTTTGCAACTGTCACACAGGTTTCTTCAACAGGAGAAAAACTCAAATGACCTTTCTTCCAGCAAGATGTGAGACTGAGCAGAGAGCAGGTGGGTAGGGGTTTGACCTGTGGTCTCACCCGTCACCCACCATGACTGTATAGCTTTGCAATAAGCTGCATAACAAGTAAGATGATAGAGATTTGTTGCTTATGTTCAAACAAAGGCAGATTGAGCCATCTTCCATCTAAATACCAAATTTTCAAGTTTTTCTTCAGTTTTTTCCTATATATATATATATATATATATATATATATATATATATATATATATATATATATATATATATATATAATTTTTGCATTTAAATAATCATCTGTACTAAAAAACATTGACAGGAAAAAGAGCAAAAATTGATCAAATAAAAGCACACAAATTTTAAAATGGCCTTTTCACAAAGTGCTTTTGTTACAATCACAGAAGCTGAAAAAAAAGGCAGTTTGAAAGCGCGACAGAGAGAGGGCGTTTTTTAGAAAACGGTCTGTCTGTTGCAGGATGGTGAGACCAGACAGACAAATCAAAATGTCAACCATTTACTCTCTTCATGTCAGACTCGCATCCCTTTACACCTGCCAATAACTCCAGAGTGGGACTCACAGTATGAAATCATGGAATGTATCCTAAAACTGGTTGAGGTGACAACAAACTGAGTTTAATCCTCCACTGCTAATCCATTCCCTTCTCCCTCGTGCCGATTCCTCTCCGCTCCGAGGATGTACGATCTCTGACCAAAGACCGTTCGGCGGCAAAGATGGATACTCAAGAGAAGGAGAAGGGGAGAGCAATAGGGGGAACAAAAAGAAAGAGACCAAGCAACCCCTTCCCTTCTGTGCTTTTCTCATCTTTGAAAAATGGCTTTTTCAAACTTTTAACAAACACTTTACTGGATAAGTGTCGTTGGTCACGGTCACTCCACAAAAAGGGAAGTGCTGATGCTTTTATCTTTGTAGGGAAGCTTTTATGTTAAATGTTGGTTTTTACAGAGGAAACTTAAACACACTTAACGGAGCAGAAAGTGAAACTCAAATGCATAGCAGTGCATTTCCACCTGAGTAGTGCCCACATGAAGACTAAAAAGATCAGCAGCAGCCTCTTTATTTTTGCATTTTCTCATATCTATGGAAACCTCCTTTGTGTTATTGTGGCCATGTAGTAGGTTAGGTGAACTGACACGAGACTGTTACTCAGAAAACAGCTGATCACTTGGGCTTTTTTAACTCGTCGCTAAACAAACATAAGAAAAGACAACACTCAGCCTTTTCTCTTTGTTTGCCAGCTTTGCATCCCCAGAGACCGACGAAGACTCCAAGTGCAAACTGTCTCCACTTGGCTGAGAGCAGCCAAAAGACTGAAGCCTGCCTCTGAAGGACCCAGGGCTGTCTGTGCAAGTGCCAGAGCCACGCTGCCCAAAGTGCCATACTGCATACGCTGTGCTCAGCTTGCGGAGCACCAACAGCCTGATGGGAAGTACACAGAAATCAGGTGTGTAGAACGATGACGAAGCAAAAGCAACCAGTCCCTTTTCTACAGCCATCAGTGCCCGTAAAACAGTCGCTCTGTCCTGCTTTGTTTGAATATTTACCGCCATCATTATCTTAGTCTTCTGTTTTGTGGCCTTCGCAGATAGAATGAGCAAGAACCTTTGATTAAAAGCACCAGAAAAATTAAATCTCGAGGTCAGTTTTAGGGGGAAGAATGCAGTGAAGTTTGGAGACGGTGGCCTGTGTCAGAGTAACCTTGGTCTGGAGCTGAGGCTGGAGACGTGTTCGAAAACAAATTTTCCAATCTTTAAAAATAATTTGGTCAAAAATATGGCAAGAAAAAGCCTTTTGGGTGAAAATAATTTCAGAAAAAAGGTGCAAGATTAGTGGCTACCCAAGGCACCCCGAGGCCCTTACACAGACCTCAGCCCCACACACACACAATATGGAAACATCAAACACAAGCGTTACACTTCCCAAACAAGGCCACAGTCAATTTCCATGTCAGATCATTTGAATCTTCCAATTTAGCAGAGATGAAGACTATAGAAGAGTCTTTAAGTTTTTAATTGTTAACAGAACATGTGACAAACATCCCATCTTCAAATTTAAGAATTTGACACAGAGTCACCTTCTCAGCAAATACGTGCCATCTGATTATGAACAGCTAAAACATTTCAAGTGTTTTCAGAAAAGCGTCACTGCCTGTCTATAAGTGTTCATTTTAAAGAAGATCTAATATAAAAAATATTTGATTTTATCCATGGTTACATTGAGTATCTCTTTAAGAGCCTTCAGATTAAATAATAATTAGTAGCTTAAAAAGCCAAGTGATGAGAATGAAAGCAGTGTTTTTTCCTGCTTTGGTATCTGTTGATGCTGGAAGTCTGTTTATTTCTGAATATACTGTACATGATTATCTTTAAGAAGGGACTGAATGGATTCTTTGTGAGACCACTGAGTATTGACCACACTGCTCTGCGCTCGCAGGCCTTTCTGAGGTCTCCCGTCCATCTCCTATAAGCCGGATGAGGACATTTAACATTAGTGCAAACATTGCTCTCTCAGCTAAAGCACCAGGTTAGTGCCATTAGGCTTTTTATCCATAACCCCACCCAAGCACCCTTTTCCCAACCCTCCTGGCACAGCATCCCAAAAATCATGATCCCCAAACCCTTCCCCAAAACGCACGCATGCTAGTAAACTCACAAGCATCCACACACAGCCATGTAGGAAATAAAACAGCTGTAGCACAAGTTGTTTTAAGGAATAAAAAACGCATTCAGACAGAAAAAGCTATTCATCTTTAAACCTTTTATACTTTTTTTCACAAAAATATAAAGAGTGAGAGGAAGTGAACTCAAGTAAATATCTGTTTGGTTCCAAACAAACTTCTGCATATGTAAGACGAGGGCATCTGTGGCATAGTCAGGGAGGCCCAGACTGGATAAATTACAGACATAGTTTCTGTATCTCTAGTCAGATAAAGGATAAAAAGCTTTGGTTTTTCAACAAAAACATTTGGGAAAGCCTTAAATGTCCAAATTAAGATGGCTCACAGGTCCAACCAGGTACAAAATCTGCCACATTAAGACAAAGTGGATTAAAGCAGTCCAAGTACCACAACAAACACAGATCACAAACGAGATAGACATTACATTACTCAGCTTGCACTGGTCTGAAAGTCAGAGTTGCTGTGCAATAACAACTCCCCTGCTTTAAGTAAAAAACGACAAACCAAATCTTTTAAGACCTATAGACAACCCCTGGCCATGACCAGTGAGGGTAAACAAGAGCTATAAAACCTGTACCAAGAGAGCAGTGAAACGAGCAAAGAACTGTCCGATGTGTTGTGTTTCAGTGTGGTATTTTTGCTTCCGTGGTAACGTGGACCCATTATCATTGTGGTTCCTGTGAGAACTTGTGTAGTTATGAGAATAACTAGTGAACAGATGGGGGTAGACACAAACATGCATCTCTCATGGTTGTCCTGAGACCCTCTAGCCTGTCAGCCAGCAGTGCATGCTTGTGCATACTGCAGAAACAATATGTATACATATAGACACATTGTGCCCTTTCTCTTTAGACTCCCTCCTGTTTCCATCCTCTAAATAAGACTTAAAGACAATCACTAACAGCTACTTTCATGTGCATTCAGTTGCATGTAATAAACTGAATATGCATCTCAGTGAACGTTTGGGGTTTCTCTCCTGGAGCCCTAAACTATTTTCTCATTGGCTTGGGTTATAAATTATAGACAGACAGAAAAAAGGAATGATCTAATTTGCAACTGTTTTGTTTCAAAGTACCCGTTTTGTAGACAAAAGTGCCCTCTCTCATAACAAAGTGCATACATAACCTGCCTCTTTCCAAATAAGGTGCAAAAGGACTGATAGCTGAACTACAGCACCACCACATGATTTACATTTATGGGAGAACATATGCGCACAACCGCTTCAACCGAAAAGCTTTGGTGTCATCAGGCTATTAAAATCATTTGGTCCCTACCGGGTCTTAAAATTAGACAAACTACTGTCCAGATTTGTTACCCTGTAACAAACCTCAAGACTTCTGGAACAAAGTCTTTTGGTCAGATGAGACCAAAGCAGAGGCGTCTGGCCAAAGGACCTGACTTAACACAAACACCTCATGCTAACAGTCAAGCACGATGGTGGAGGGTTGATCATTTGGGCTTGTTTGGCAGACCATTTGATCGTTAACTTCTAATGGATACAATGTGCCCTGTAGCAAGATTTCTCTGCTTTGACAAATTAATCAACACATCGCCTTCTAATATTGTCCATCTACTACTCTGTGGATCAAATCATTCCTGAGCCAATCTAACAGCTGAAAAACAAATGTGTCTGCCTTTTAGGCTAAATTTATTAATAAATAAAAAACAAGTCATAATATATGTTGATGTAAATTTGAGGTTACATCTATCCTAGTTTGAGACCTGGTAATGACCAAAAGACTTAATTTCTGATACAGAAAACTTTATATATTAAAGAGCGTGTGCTTACTTTAACCATTGTCGTATTAGGTGGATGGGGAAGGAATAGGGGTGTTATCATATGGACGTTGTCTTGACTGAAGGGTTAACGCTGGAATCTGAGTAACAACTTTCTTTTTTTTTTCTAGCAAATCCAAATCCATGCAGTCACTGACAATATTCAAAGAGACAAGAGAGCTCTGGTGTTCTACTCCTCTCTACCTGGACCCAGTGTGTGTGAGAAACAGAGAAAGTGTGCTGGGGCTGGCAGCTCAGGGTGCATGTTTGAACAGGCTGTGGCTGACTCACACACTGATGATGTGGCCAGAGGGACCCTGGCTGTCTCATACACACACATACACGTGCGCACACACACACACGCCCACAGGCAAAAAACACATGTACATGTAAACACGCTCTCACAGTAAACTGCTAGCACCAGGCGTCCTCCCCACAGTAACACCAGGCTCTAACATAATAATATCCCCTCCAGGCTGGTTCAGGGGCATTAGAGGACTACAGAGGCAGGGAGAGGGAGAGAAAAGGCTTGATTTGATCCCCTCCTGCCTGGAAACGTGGCTGAGCTGGGGGAGATTATTTTTTTGGAATGCAACAGACATTGTGAGATCCCCCTCCCCTTCCCTGGCTCACCTCCCCCATCAACCAGCTGCAGCTGCGCTCATATTTGGCCTCCCAACTTGGACAGGTATTTATTGCTCTCTCCATCACACAGGTTGTCTTACGGTTGTGTGGTCCCTAGGGCCAGGAAAGATTGGAATAAGCATGATACATACACCTTGCTCTCACTCCCTCCCCATCACCAACCCACTTCCTTTAAATATACCCTTCTCCTGCTCTTTTGGATATCTTTAGTAAAGCTGTGCAAACATAAAAAGGTGCTCACAAATCTCTTCTTCGTACTATTTGTCACTCTCACTCCCTGCCATTCCTTTAACCTGCGGTTGGTTAAGTGCTACCCGCGCCTCGTCACACAAGGGCAGATTCCGAAAAAACTGCGCAAAGTTAAGCACATTCATTCATTCGTTCATTCATTCATTCATTCATTCATTCAGCATTCTAATCCTTTGGGCAGGAACTGTACATGTCAAGTGTTAAATGTTATGATGAATGGGTTATTTTTTTTCTCTCACTTTACCAACGGAACATTCACACAGTTTATTTTCGTCCACCCGCGAGTCTAACTGCGTCACAAACGTGACAACCCTAAGAGGAAAGAGGTGATCAGCAAGCACACCTCAGCAAGAAGATGCCAATGTCATGTCACCATATGCACACACGTGTACAATTATAAAGTGTCGCGTACCCAAGGAACAAAAAAATTAAGACAAATCAAAAGGGCAAAGAAATCGCCGACCTTGCAGGGTTGTGAGGGATAAGAGGCAACATAGTAAAGCCCAAAGATGCATTGAGAACAGTAGTGCTTCAAAAACACAACCCCTTCACTCCTCATATTACCCAAGTTCTGCAAATGGCGAGCCCCCATTAAAGTGGATTCGACTCAAAGGGAATTTGTTTTTAAAAATACAAACTATAGATTATGACTTTTTTTCTTCTTTTTTTAAGAGTAAGTAACACTTCAATCAAACCCTTGCCTGATTCTTTCTGGAACATTTAGAAAGAGCGAAAGAGAGAGAGAGAGAGCGAGAGAGAGAGAGAGAAACTGTTGCATCAAAACATTGGTGAGTTTTTCTTGCATATACCATATAGTGGAAATGTTGTTTCTATGGTAACTGTACATCTCAGAACTGCAAAAGAATAGAAAAAAAAGGGATTTTCACTGGAAAGATTTGTCCTCGCTTCACTCGTACAGCAACCAGAAGGTGCATGACGTTCACCTTTCTTAGAGCTTGAAGGCTGTGAGGACAAAAACCAGTAAAAACCTAAACCAACTGCATAGTTGCTTGGAGTTGTTGCGTTTACCATACATTTGCCCAAGTACATATGCCAATGTAAAAAAAACATCTAATATCACAAAGAAAGGAATGGCCCAGAAAGTGGGCGCCATGGGTGGATGATTTGAAGCGTTCTTTGCTCTTTCACAAATATACCAAGTGAAGTGCTTGCAAGTCTACTCAGTTTCCTAAGTAAAAGGAGAAAGAAATATAAAGATTAGATTTCTGTGACACCCTGATTTGGTTTTAAGAGGAATAGTTAGTTGTGTTATTTTTAAATTGCCTTTGCGTGATTTTTTTTCTCCTCTGTTCACTGGCCTGTCTCACAGGCTATGCAGAGTGACTATGGCGTCCAGCATTGCCCTTGTCCTCCCTGCAGTCTCAGGGCCCTGCATCTCCTGCAAGAACCTGCAGCTGTGGACTATGTGCACGCACTCCAGCAGCACCCTCCACCTCTGCTGCGGAGGATGCTTCAGAACTCCGTCGTCCCTTGACTGTGCGAGGCCCAGTCCCGGCGTCAGAACTGGGGCTTAGAAGACTTTGGGGGACCTCCAGGAGTCCCGGCTCTCTCACCCGAGGCTTCCTGCCACGGCGGGAGGGGATGCCGTTGCAGCCATCCTTCTTAAGGTGACGATGCAGATGATCCGAACGCACAAATGTCTTAAAGCAGCTAGAGCACTGATAGGGGCGCAGGCCGGTGTGCACGCGCATGTGATTCTTCAGGTCGTAGTTGTGAGCGAAGGCAGCTCCACACTGTGTACACAGGTAAGGCTTCTCTCCGGTATGCTTTCGCATGTGAACCTTGAGCTTGTCCTGTCTGAGAGGGAGAAAAACAAACACAGCTTAAGAACACACAGACACTAGAGTCAAAGGAACACGAGGATCCGCTCACTGCTGTTTGAACATACATGAGCTTTATGCCTACATCACCACTCAGGTTATTACGAACTACATCATTTACAAATGCACCAGTTACTTCTGAACTTACCGGCTTCCACACATGCAAGGATTATTTCAATGTGCTTTTGGATGAATTCATGATTTCATAGATCTCATCCCAGTCTATGAAGATAGGAGGTCCAAATGTCGAGCGGCCATAAACGTTACATTTTTATCTTTGTGACTGCTATCCCGAGCAGAACTGCAGAGTGGCACGAAGGCTGAACGTTCACTGCGACAGTTGGCATTTTAGATGTTTCTCTTAATTTGAGGACAAGATAACAGATAAAAATATGTTTTGTATTTTTTCCAAAGGAAAATAACAACTTCATTGTCCTGTGCTTAAGACACATTTCTCTGTAAGTAATGACTAAATAAACTTTGGAACTTAGCTACATGATCAAATTCACTTTGGAGAAACCAAATTAAAGAGTCCCGCTGTCCCAAAAAGTATGCATTTCACGGAAATTAATTTCAGGACAAAAGAAAACCAAAACACAACTTGATTTATCGAAATTTAAAATGAATCTCATTACGTCTCGAAACTTTTCTTTCCAATGATACCCACCGCCTTCAGTCAACTTCACTTTATCTGGCTACCTTGGCCTTCATCTGACTCCTGTCCTTCCTTCCCCCCTCCAGCCTTTACTATCGCTCTGGCTCCTGAGATTTTAAATCATCTAACCTTCCTCCACTGAGCGCTCCTAAGCAAGTAAGTTGGGACAACTTCATTTCAACGCGCACACACACACACTATACTGCAAGTGCTGTGTAAGGGGATTAGCTGTCATCCAAACAAATAAGAAAACCCACTGCAGCCCTCGCGGGTCTGTACAAAGTGTTCCCTAAATATAAGAAATTAACAAAGACCAATATGTGTAGATAAAGAGAAACACACACGCAAACGCTCAGGCTGAAGGACTCGAACAAAGCGGCAAACTGACAGAGGTGAATTATTTAAAGGACAGGAGTGATTTATTACCGAGCAAGGCAAACCGTTAACCCTGATCAAACAGGATTAAGATTACAATGCCCCCTTCTCACTGCTGGTCAGATGTAGCTGAGGGGGAATTCAGAAAGGTCTTCCCTGGCTGTCCTGACTAAAGAGGTGCTGGCTATTTCAGGCTGAGACCATCTATTTCCAGCACAGGCCTTCCAGTTAATTAATTAAAGCAATGATTTCAAGGAACAAGCAAGACTTCTGAATTAGAGGAAACCATGTGCAAAGATGTCCCCTTCTGTTGTTTGTCCTCTGAGTGGATTTAAACTGAAAGGTAATGGGAGTGACAGCCGGAGAAAGGAGTGGAGGGGTGAATGGTCCTCTGTGGGCAATAATCAACAGATCAAAAGTTCACATTATACTGTACTGGGATCAGAGCACCATCCAGGGCCTGTAATCCCCCTCTGTATCAGAACACAGCCCTTTATGGCAGCTTTCCACTAGATAACACCACCTTGGCACGGCCTTCATTTATAGGACCCCTATGTTAAAATCCCAGGACTTTGCCATGAAGGCTGTGGCCATAAAACAGACCTTTATAACAGTCCAGCCCCGTCCCCACAGCGGGGACACGAAACATGCCTCTAAAATTAGTATTCTGACAACAAAGTGATCTACTTAGTGGCTTGTCAGGCCATGATCAAAGTAAACATTTGGACACTAACTGCACTGGCCCCTTAATGCAAAGCTAAGGTGGTTAGCGCTAATACTCCAGCTCTTGGCTTTGTGGCGTTTCCCCACTGCTGGCCGGTTTGTCTCCAGTGCCAAGTCCAATACTATTAGCACATGTGACATGAGGTAGTCTCTTCATCAAATGGGCTTACCTGGTAAAGCGCACTTTGCAGATGGTGCATTCATAGGGTTTCTCTCCAGTGTGCGTTCTGATGTGGCGGGGTAGCTTTCCTGCTCCTTGAATGACCTTTGAGCATATGGGGCACTTCTGGAAGGCTTTAGAGCGCATCTTTCTCTCTCCCCCACCTCCTGCAGCCCCGTTGCCCCTCTCTCCAACCCCCCTCTCTCCTGCTGCTCTGTGTTGGCCCGTACTACCTCGTGATACCCATAGTGACGGCATTCCCTGCGTTACAGAGGCAGAAGACGCATCTTCATGCTGCGTGCTGCTAAAATAATTCAAGTAAAATTCCATATCTGGATCGTCCCCATCTCCCTGCTCCTCCCCGGCCGTTGTTGACTTTTTTTGCCTCTCGATGGAGTCCATCATTTTTTGTAGGAGAGCACTGGCTGACCCCCTCTCACTCGCCAGGTCCTCTCTGCAACCATCCAGCAATTTTATGTCCTGCTGTGACTCAGGGGGGAGGTAGAAGTGGTCATTCTGAGAAGGAGGATAGTATGAAGAACCCAGGTGTCCTCCATTGCCCTGCACTGCCTCTCCGTCTTCATCTTCCTCTTCGTCCTCGTCGTCCTCATCTGCTTCTTGTGTGTGAGGCTGTGACAAAGCAAGGGCCAGTGGGGAGTAGTACTCACTGAGGCCAGCAGGAGCCCCATTGGTGGGGGCACTGCCGTTACCGTGATTAAAGTGTAAGTGTGTGGGTAGGTCCCTGAGCTCCGGCGTGCTGCAGCTGCTGCTCCAGTGCGCCCCTCTCTGGAAGTACTCCAGGTACTCCCGGGCCCGAATCCGGTTCCCCTGCTCCTCGACTTCTCTGCCCTTTCCCTCTCCATCTCCATTTTCGTCTCTTCGCTCATTGCCCGCCTAGACAGGACAGAGAAGAAAAAAAAGTTAATTTATATCTGAAGAAGTCCTCGTAAATCACAAACTGAACGGCAAAGACTAACGGAGATCTCTGGAATTTTGGAGAAAATGAGTAAAACAGTCCAGCTAAGAGTAACTGAATAACAATGATCCAACTTTTCATTTGAATTTTAAGGAACCCCCAAACAAAGATTGACATTTTCTCAATAATGTGATGATGACAACCATTTGGGTTTTAAGCTTCCAGGCACAGCTCACCGCTGCTACACCAAATCATGCCACCGAGGAGCTGAGGTGTCTGTAGTCTGTGAAAGAGCATGCTGTTCTTCCACCAACACTCAGCATGAGTAGATGCTGAACTGACCTCGAGCAGCGAGGCGTATTATTGGCAAAGAGAAAAGCAGTGATTTAAGCTTATTAAATGAAATTTAGTCCTACAAAAAACCCACGAGATCTGAACCTGCTAGTTACAGTACGTCTCGTGATTCAAGCCAACATTCATCAAACATGAGTTTTAGTTCTGTAGTAGTGTTGTACCGGCGGGGAGAGCACTTTGGTGTCCAGCAGGTGAGTGCAGACGTCCTGAACAGGTGAGATCTCCAGGAGGTGTGCAGCAGCGAGGATGTCAGCCACACTGTTTTGACTGACTGTCAAAGTCGCCGTGTAGGCAAAGTCCAGCAAAGCTCCCAGAGCCTCCGCCGCCACAAAGTCGATGCTGTAGATGTTCTGCTGGTCGGCGACGGCCCCTGAAGTGAAGAGCTTGTGGAAGTAGGAGCTACAAGATGCCAGGACGGAACGATGAGCTGGAAATTCCCGGTCCTGGGTAACCAGGAGCACGTCGCACAGCAGCCCACTGAGCCGCTGCTTGTTCAGGCCGCCCAGGATGTCTGCACTGTGTTCTGGGAAAGGGATCCCCACAGGACCTTCCTCTGTGTCTCCTGCTCCTCCTCTCCCTCCCCCACCACCACTGCTCGCTATCCCACGGAGCCGCCTTCCTCCTCTCCCGCTGGCCCCTGACGACATCTTCCACCAGCCTGCCGCCGAGCCGCCTAGCACAGCCCCCACCCGTGTATCCGTCCTGCCGTCCGTCCGTCTGCCTATCTGAAGAAGAAGTGAACGAAAGGAAACGAGACAAGGAAACGGGATTAATATATTTGTTGTTGATGGGGAGAATAACGACTATTCTCATTTTAGTAACCCAAATGAAAATAGTTACAATGAAAATAATTAAGAATCACCTTAAAAACACAAAAAATTTACAAAATTTATTTTTATTTGCACCTTTAATAATAATACCCAATTAACTTCTAAAACTCTTTCCATTTTATTTATACATGCATTTACTGTAATCAACTCATGCAAGTGTTCCTTTAATAAAAATGTCCACTTTCAAATAATCTAAACCAGAATACTTCATCAGGATAATTTCATTAAAACCAAGAAAAGAGAAAGTAGGCTAAATTTTCACCACCTGACCTTAAATTGAACTTTGCTGTGAATATTTTACATTTTCTTCCTTTCAGCTGACTTGGGAGCCTTGAGTAGCCACATGGTGGTAGCGTCACATTTCTATTAATCACTCCTCAGATTTTACTTTATAAAGATAATAAAATGTGCATTAAAGACTGGCAGGAAAACTGGTGGACGGAAATTTGCCGTCTTATAGCGGTCACCATTACTGAATAATTTCACTCAGCCTTTTTGTTTGAATAAATCTAAATGAGCGTGTGATTCACAGGTGAGTATAATATTGGTGTGCCTGCTTCCTCGTTTACACAACACACCTACGGAAGTGTGCACACACGTGCAAGAAATCAAATAAGAGGTCATGGAGGACAGATAAGCTGAGGGCTGTGGGGATCAGAGTGCACGGTGGGAGCTGGGCTGTGCAGCCTATGTACTCTGTGACGGTCAAGAGCAAAAGGAGCGACGCAATAGAGGTGGAAGAACAAGAGAGGAGAGGTGGGTGGGGTTGTTAGAACAGACCCTGTGGAGGAGGAAGAGAACATACAACAAGCTGCAAAGGGAACAGTAGTAAAGAACGGAGGTTGTCAATCCGGTCTGAGCTAGTTACCCCACCCTGTACTGTGTGCCAAGTTTGAGAAAAGGCCTGTCCCCTCGCTCACGTGTGTGTGGGGAATTAAAATGATCGACTGAAGCCTACGCAGCGAGAAGGGGGTTGGTTTCAGCAGAGCAGGACACCCGTCCTCGATTTCTCTATCAGCACACTCTCACACAAGTAAGTACAGTACAGGGACATCAATAACACACAAATCACACACACACACACATATAAATCACATACAGGTCACCCGCCTGGTCCAACTCTCCTCCCCCCTTCGCCATCTGCCAAGCAGACCCAGCAGGGGGCAAGGCTGGGTGGTAGATGCATTAAATACGTTGGTCTCTACAAGATTCAAATTACATTCCTTTCAATCAATCTTCTTGGTACGTCTGCATGCTACGCCCCTCTGCCAAACCTGCCTAACCTGGCTGCCCCTCCTCTTCTGTACATGTTCACCTCTTCTGTTCCTTCTGCTGCATTTGTACTCGTGTAATCTTCTGTAGAAAAATGCATATCTGCATTCACACTTGCGATACGGCAATGTGCCCAGTTTGCCCACAGGTCATAGGTAAACAGTAGGGTGGAGCAGATGTGTTTAATTCCTGTTTGTCTCCTCATTATTTACTAAATTTGTCAAAAATTGATTAATTTCGTTAAATGCGTATAACAAAGATTACAGTTAGATACACAGCTATCTTCAGATGAGATAACAGCGCACATTTCCACATCTCTGGTACGTTTGATTAGCAGTAGACAATTTAATGGCTCCACTATTTATCATCAGTCACTGTGTCACATTAATCACTTTTGATAGGCAGCTGACTCTAAAGCATCTGAAAACACAGACTTCTACAAAGTTCCACTTTTTTTGTTTTACCCAGCCCCTTATCTGAATATGTTGGGATGAGAGATACGAGAAAAAGAACCAACACGGGAAGCGGGGAGAGCAGGGTGAGCTGGGAAAGAAGAGCAAGAGAAAGGGCATCCACATGGCTACCGGTCACGTCCTTCACAGGTGGAAACGGATCTCTGTGAGCCCATCCGGGCAAAACCCAACCTGCTTCTCTTTAACACTGAACTCCATGGCACCTGTACTGGACCAGGCTTTCCCGCACAGCACCCTATCACCCCTCCCCACACAACTGTCTTTGGCTGATCCCAGGTCATGGCTTTGTGAGGTAAAGACTGTGAGCTGAGAGGAGATAGAACACACATGCACAAACATGTGGACATGCACAAACTCGAGCCGGTGTCGGCAAAGCACAGAGGGACAACTCGGCATGCGAGAGCCACTTGTCACCAAATAAACCTGCAACGCTAAGGAGGAAACATGGTGCCCCAAACCTGATCCCGACACCTCCTCATGGCTCGAAACATTCCTTATCACTAATTCATGCCTGTGGGTGACAAGGCCTGCAATCTAGAACAAAGCAGCACTGCAGCTGTCTGTTTTTGTGGCGTTCCACTTTTGGGAAAGGGCCCTTCTCACAACGCTCAGCCCATGAGAGCCCGAGCCTGCTTTGCAAGTCAAACAACGGCTTCCGCACAGGACCAACCCATCCCATCTCCACCCTCATTACCTTTAACTCATCTGTGACATCTCTTTGCCCCTTTCCAAGCAGCAGTTTCTGATTTGCAGTTATTGCAGTTGACTGTGTGTCAATATCTGTGCAAAGACAGTTGGACCCGATTTGCTTGTCACTCAACAGACGAGCACATGGCAACGGACTGTGATAGGAGCTGGTAAAAGTGGTTTTTGTTTTGGCTGACATGCATCATCTATAAAAGCCTGCAGAATTTCCACTCTTAAGCATCTCTGTCTTTGCCTGACACATACCAGTCATTCCTAAACACAAAGGAACAAACTGTTAACGCTGCGTAACCTCAGATGACTTTCAGACATGGAAATACATTTTTGAGATTTTTTTAGGAAAACATAACCAAACGTAACCTAAAAAGCAGCATTTAGATGGACTGAGCTGAATGCAAATGTGTCCTCCCCTTCTTTGCAACTATTATTGGAAACCTTCCACACATTATAAAATATGAAACTTTGCTATTAGCTCAATCAAACTGAGAGCACATTTAAAAATGTATCAGATGACCAAATCATTGACTTTTTTAACTTAAGACAAAAAGGGAACAGCTTTTACTTTTTGCCACGATTGTACGCGAGTAACCAGATCATGCTATCGGAGTCTATGTTCTAAACACTGTAGGGTGTAGCAGCTACTCAGCAGCAAAACCAAAACGAAGCTAACTACCAAACGCGAAGGTTAAACAAGTAGAACAACTTTCTCGGCTGTGTGTTCTTATCAATATTATAAATAGACTACATTTTTTGTGTCTCCTTTTCTCATTTAATTTTCCAAATCTCCACAACCATAGGGTCTGAAGTTGCACTAAGATGATATTTCAAGATAACAGAAATGGGAGAGAAGTAACAGTTCTCAGGAAAAGAGGATTTTGAGCAACTGCCATGGCTTAGTGACTCATCATTGCCCAAAGTGGAAGGAAACCTGACTGGCCATATTGACAGTGAAGCAGGAAGAGGGCAAGTGACTGATAAAACTAAAGTAGTAAGAGCTGGTGTATTCCTGGCAGTTTTCACTAGAAACTAACCAGGAAATGCTGCCAAAACAACAGACACACAGCCTGTGAAAAAGGTAGTGGGTGAGTCGGGGTATTAAACTCACAGGCTCACTCGTAACTCTGGAGCACATGGCGTGGCCTAGGAATCTGGCTCAGATGTCAATGATAAACTCAAGACATCTTATTCAGGTACCTGGTATAACCTGCTACAATAAGAGGAAAGGTAACAGCCCACCGGTTGGGCAAGGTTTACAGTGGTAGAGCTTGCTGGGGAGGGGGGAGGTGACACTGTTCGTACGGTACGTTTTGTACTACTACCCAGCTGCTGCTACGCTTTAAAAAGGACTCGCACAGAGTTAATGAGATTTTCAATCTCACAGAGCAAATATCACATTTAAGAAATAAAAACTTTATTCTTTCATTTTGTTTAACAGGTAAAACTACGCTTTTAATTTGTTTTTATTAAACCAGAAGCACAGGAACTATTTTTAAACAGTTGTATGTTTGGTTTAAGAGATCAAATCACAAGAATTAAACACAGAGCCCAAAACAACATAATTAGCAGTCTCATTTGACATACTTGAATTTTATTTAACCGGATGAGTTTAATATGCTCTGCTTTGTATATAGCTGGTAATCTCACTGGTCTATGACTGCTGGTGACGAACTGCAAACAGCATTCATGAAGGAGTCTCCAACATGTCTCTAAACATTAACAGGGGTTTTTGTTCCCTCGTGATTTGCAGGGGCTTGCATGTTAAAAAAAATCTCCTGGTCAAATGTTGTCTCAAAGTAGTCAAAGAGATGTCTTATGCTTCAAAAACCCATCTCCAGAGTGAGAGCGAGAAACGTGGGGCAACTGTTGATTGCAAATGAAATTAGGGCAAATTTTGACAACAGATTTTTTAACAAAATTAGCAGTGACATCATATGCCCCAGAACAGGCCACAAACAAAACTTGTCATAAGTGTTATTTGGACAGAATAATTGAAAATTTGAGTGAAAATTTGCATATTTGTGTCTCCAGCTAATCATTAACAGGGCTCTTAGGCCTAGTCCACACGTAGCCGGGGTTTTTTAAAAAACGAATATCCGCCCCTCCAAAAACTTGCATCCACACCACCTCGTTTTAAAAAAAAAAAACTCTGTCCACACCCGTACATTATGTCGATGGTCCACACGTACCCGGATAAATACGTTGTTAAGGACATGCCAGACCTGTAGGCGGCAGTACTTCCCCCGTTCTTAACCTCGTCCTTCGTCTGTGGTCTTCCGCAAGTAGCAGTAATTCCGCTTGCAAAAACAAACGAGCAAAAAGCGCTTGGACAATTGATAAAGCGAGCACAGCTCTGAGGGCATCCATGCTGTCGGCTAGTGTAAACACAGGTCGCACACGTGATGTCAGCATTGTTTTTGTCGCGGAAAGTGACGTTGCGGACCTTAAAACTCCGGTTTTGTCTGTCCACACGCAGACACCCAAAACGGAGAAAACGCAGATCTTCACTTTGGCCAGAGTTTTTAAAAAGATCCCTTTTCGTGTGAAAAAACTCCGTTTTCGTGTGGATGACAGGCCAAAACGTAGAAAAATATCGACACTTTGGCAGATCCCCGGCTACGTGTGGACAGGGCCTTAGTTTGGGGGTCAATACATCTGCACAGTGTGACATCAAATTGATTTCCTCCTTTTGTCCTTTTTTAATATGCGGCGATAAAACTTCCAAATCTATAGACTACAACACGACAGGTGTCTCTTCTTGCCTCGCTAAGTGTTTTCTTGAACCCATTAGCATGTGTTGACAACCAGGAAGTGTAACAAGACCCACATCCTCAGAAACACCCCTACACCCCAACACAGAGGTCTCCAGCTCAACTCCAGCTGGCCAGTTGGCTGGTTAGTCAGCGTGCCCCGGCTGCACCGCTCTGTGCATGCACGGCGAAACGGGGAAAGAGGACTTCCTGTGAGTCTCAGGCAGTCCTGTAACAGAACCCGCTCTGTTATCAGATGACCAGCTCTCTGCTTGCTTGATCTCTGTCCCTACTGTCTGACCCTTCTCTTCCCTCACTCTCATCTGTCGCTCTCTTCTCATCGTTGCTCCACGTCTGTCTAAAAGGCTCTGCAATGCTTTGTATCCACCACAGCGCCCACTTCCCCTTTCCACTGCTGAGGAGGCAAAGCTGCACGGACCCACCCACCTTCCCCTGTCTCGCCATGCTTTAATGCGACCCACACATCGTCTCTCTGGTTTCTTTGCAAACCAAGTCACTACATCAATATGCAGACAACGTCAGGCTGGTCTCATAACACCCCTCCTGACTGTTTGGCCTCTCTCCTTAAATGAAACAAGCGTAGTACTACAGCATTATCATTAGCATAGCAGTAAATGTATATCATCACAAAAAACCTACAAAATATACTTTAAAAAATCCTCAGCAAAAATGAGCTAATCCAGCTTTCTTAAAAACATTCCAGGCCTCACTCTCTTACTTTAATTTGATCAGGTTGTGTTGGCCTCTCCATAATAAATGTCCCAGAAGAGAACAGAAGAAGCCCCTTTAACTCCCCCTCGGTCTTCAGCATAACAACAGAAAAACAACAGAGAGGGGTCTGTCTTGTCTAGCCAGGCTGGAAGCCGTGGTATACTAAAGCAGCTGACCAGGGGAACCAAACATTAGGGGGAAGTGAAGCTGCGTTCACTAAAGGAAGAGACTAATTCGCAAGACATTGTTTCAACTTTTTACACCAATATCTTTTCATCTGGAAAAGCAACACAGAAAACCATCTTATCAAACACAACAAAACTCCACAATATATCATTTTAGCACACAGACAAGACTTTAGGCAAACATATTATGACAGCTACATGAAATCCACTGTACACTGCCAACTTTCTATTCCAAAATAAAGCCTCAAACTGCCACGGCGACATCACACAACCTGTCCTCTCCGTCTGCCTCGACCTGCTAGTTTTGGGCCAAAGTGGTGTAGGCACAAACATGCAGGCAAACATGCAGGAATATCAAACTGTACTCAGCCTTACCGCCAAATTGATGGGTGGTGTCTTGGACCTGCCCACAGTCACTGAAGTCCCCTGCAATTCCCCTGGAGTCTATTGTTGGTAACACAGCATGTGTGCGCACAAACACACTCACACACTCACATGCAAACACATATGGCGTCCTAGTTTAACCTCTTGCTGGAATTTACTGGAAATAACTATATTTTTCTCCCATAGTAAAGCCTAAGACGTTGCCCAGAAGGAAGCATCTGTAGCAAACAATATTCACCGTCAGTGGTAAATTCTTTGACCTTACACTGAATGACAAACACCTGATTTATCTCCGCCTGCTAAACACTTTCCCAGCAATTGGGCGTCTTCATGTGCTGTGCTCGCCGTTTACCATCCCCATGCCCGCATTTTAAAAAAAACGGGTTCAACAAGTATGCAAAGCCAAAATGAAAAAAAAAAAGAAGACAACAACGTGCATCTGGTTGTTGAGGAAGGCAGTAAGGGTTGCTGTGAAGCCTTTAAAACACTGGCCATATAGCAAGCACTACATGGCGGCAGGCGAGATTAGAATCTACTTTTGACAAGATGCCGGTGGGGTTGGTACGAAGAGATGTCATTAGGCTGACGGTGGTTTGGATAGCTGAAACCAGTCTGCAAGTGCGTGCAAAGTTACCATAGTGTAAAGTTTTTGGTTTTAAAGTTGATTTGGCGTGGACTTAGCAGCTTAGTGGAATTCAGTTCGCTGTATCACATATTCTACTCATTAGGAGAGGACATATTTTTAAGTCTCCCAAACTATTACTCAACAGCATGCCTGTGCCCTGGCAGACATCGCCATCGTAGTTTTGCCACAGCCTTGCAAACTATCGATGCAGTTGTTTGTGAATTTATTTCACTGCCCACAAAGAAGCAGCAGTACAGAATGTGTTCATCGGCCCACTCCACCTTTTACAGCAACATGTCACTTAATTAATGCCACCGGAGAATAACGTAAATACAGTTGTACATCTTGGCAGAAATTAAACAACACAATGGTGCTTACATGTCCAGAGTTAAATATTCAGTGACATGTGAATAATCTATTATGCTATATTGTTTATATTTTTTCCATAGTATTCTATGCAGCGGTCTACAATCAGCAGTGACCTATTTGCCATTTTCTTTCTTATCTGCAAGCGGGTCGAGAACTCTGAACTCTGTCAAGCCCCTTGTTTCTCACCCTCCTACGCCAGCACAGTGGTAATTTATTTCCTCTCCTCTTTTCTCAGTCCCAGTCAGTGTGTGTGTGCGTGTGTGTGTGTGTGTGTGTGTGTGTGTGTGTGTGTGTGTGTGTGTCAGCAACTGTGTTGCGGGCCCTGACTGCCTCCCCAGCTTGCTTGTCCAGCTCTGTAGCCTATGTCTCTGGGCAGGGCTGGAGCATTACCAGGCAGGAAACTTGTGAGTGGCCCTAGTCATGAAGGCAAGCCCTTGCCTGATCCTATACAGACACCTACCCCCCCCCCCCCCCCCAGCCCCCATCATCCCATCCACCACCACCCTCTATTTTCAGCCCACAACTCAGCTCCGCATCTCCCCCTCTCATTGGTTTCACAGCAACTCACTCACCACACCTCCTCGACGGGATAGGCTGATGGCTCTTTCCTGCATGGCCAAGGGCAAGGCACTCTGGGATACAGAGTCTGAAACTCAGCTTCACCTGGTTCCCCGTCCCTGCTGTGGACTACGAGTCCCAGCTCTCTCTCTGCCCTCACCACCCCCACTCTCTCCAAGCTTGCTCTAACGTAAGCACTCAGGGCTGAATTATACACTACTGTGTTGCTAGCAGGCTGCCAGGTATTAAAGTACAGACCCACCATCAGACTGGGCACGGCTTCGTAGGAGAAATCTGATTCAGCTTCGGCTGTCAGAGCAGCACTGAAACATCAGAGGTGGGGTCCGTCATCACACACACACACAGTCTTGTGACAGTTCTAAGTCCATGACCTAAATTGACTTACTCCTCTTTAACACCCCAGCGCCACAGCAATACGCCACACAGCCTATCCCACACCAAGCAGTTCAGACTCTCCTGTGTCTACAAGTTGTCATTCATTCTATCTTAGTCAACATGAATGTTTTTGGATCCTCCATCCCCCCCCCCCCTCCGTAGAACCTCCCTCCTCCTCCTCCTCCTCCTCCTAAGTGCTTCCACCTGCCTGAAAAGTTAATGTTTTGATCACATCCTATAAACTTGATCTCAAGGTTCCCCAGAGGTAAAGAGCTCTACAGAGGAAGTGTTTCAGGAGGATCAAATAAAAAGAGGAACCTTGACATGGGACTGCTGCTGCGACCCCCCCCACCCTGCTCTCCTTTTTCCTCTGGCCCCCCTCCCTTATTCCTCCCTCTGTCCTGTGTTCGACAGGCCCAGGGAGGACAGAGGGGAGATGACAGGGTGCCTTTAGCTCACCTGCGATGGCCGTGGTGCTGCTTGTTGTGGGTTAGCTCAGCCCTCTCCTCTCCTCCTCTCCAGAGCTGCCTCTCTCCCTCTCACTGCTGTGCAGCAGCTTAAAGCCCCGTATGCGCTAACCAAGCAGTAGCAGATCAACTCAATTCCCTTCCTGGTTTCTGGAGGGCAAAGAGGTCCCTCCCTTTTTCTCTCTCTCTCACACACACACACACACACTCACACTCTCTCTCTTAAAGACACAGCATCCCCCCTCCTCCCCCCTCCTGTCAAGCAAAAGAAAAGTGGAAATGCCTCTACACTCTGAAGTGGACAGATGTCAGAGACACTAAAACAGAATCAGACAGCAATTATTAACCTGCTCCTGCCCACTCTGCTTTCACTCTGACTCCCTCTCTCTCCCCGGTGACTCTGGTGCGTGTGCTCTGAGGTTAAATTCAGCTGGCTGTTCTCACCCGCCTCATCTCTCACAGCTCCTTTCCTTTTTCTTTGCAAGTCGCACCCACCCATCCTATTGCCTGAGGTCATGGTGTCCCACCCCAAAAGCAAGTCTTGGCACATTCCTGCACACACAGTAGGGGCTGCCAGAACCCCCCCCCCCCCCCTCCCCTCCCATGATACACACTCTGGCTCTGCACCGTCCCTGTTCACAGTACCTGCCAAGCTCGAACAGGTGAGGACATAACCGAGTCAAAAATTTCTTCACCCACTGTGGGGAACGGCAAGTTCCCTCGTGTGAACTTACCGCAGTTCATGTTGCGCCACTTCCAAATGCCCACCCGCACACCCACTCAGAGAGAGAGCCAGCCATTGTGCCACGGAGTGGGATGGAGCACAAGATGTTGAGCTGCATCACCATCATGACTGGGTATCAGGTTATATATAATCAGGATCATGTAATCGGATTAATATTTGAAAAGGGTGTAATTGCTCTATAATGACCCTGGAAAATACCCATTAATTGCTTGTTGCATCGTACAAATTAAGCAGTGTAGATTCGTGCTGCCATGCTGCAACTAAAGATGAGTCAGTCTGAAGTTGAAATGCTGTAAATGTTTAACTTTATATCACAGAAAGTTTATTCTGTTTACCTGATTCCATTACTGTGACGTCTTCTCTTTGCTTGCTCTAAACGTAAGTGTTTCATTTTTTTATTAACAATTAAACTCAAAGGAAATTGTTTTAATCTGGTTAGGGGTTTAAAACAGGACTATACTAACATGAGTAGAACACACTGGGCTACCTGCACTTTTCTTTCTTTTAATTTTAACCAACTGCAAATGCTGAATACTTTTTTTAAAAATAGAATTTAGTTTTTATTACTTTTGTTTAAATTTTACTTAGATTTTTTAAAATGAAAAATCTGAGTGGAAAAAAAATCACTGCATGTTTTTCAACTTTACATTAACTTTTTAACTTATGTTGTAATTTTTATTTTACATTGAATTATGTCATCATGTGCTTTGTTTCTTCTAAGTTGTTTTTGTCTTCTGAATCACTTCTGTACACCATAAATGATCAATAATGTGGATTTAGAGTATTTGATGCACATGCGTGTGGAGCCCTTATCCTGAGAGCCACAGTAGCCCCTTGGAGCTCAGTTTCATGCTTCCATGCAAGCAGTAACAAAGTTTGCCTAGAGGGCGCTGTTTAACGCCGTCTCTGCACTGGCACAGGTTGTGTGTGTGTGTGTGTGTGTGTGTGTGTGTCAAAGGCAAAAACTGCCGTAGACTAGAAAAAAGGCTGGAAGATACACACACATGTGAGCCTACATATTTTACTACTTTGTCCTAACTAACCACGTGACACAGAGCTGTTCTCCGGCTGAAATGATGTCAGACATTTTTATTACAATGCCAGTCTAATGTAGGGTGGTCCTCTTCAGAACCAGACACCCCCCCCCCCGTCTGGTCTGTAGTTGTCATTAGTGCCTGAAAAGAGAAAAGCCAGTTTAACAGTACCCCTTGTGAACACACTTCCTAACAAAAAGGCCTCGTTTTTTAGGAAAGCTGTAAAAAGGTGTCTGAGATGGTTGGCCTTCATTCGGTCTGCAGTGAAGAGTTTTACTAATTCAGAATTGAGTTGAGGTTCATGGTTTTGTAAGTAAATTATCTTGAATTTGCCCACAACTTTAATAGAAATTCCACATTCTGAATTTGACATAGTTTACATGTTAACCTTAACGCTGCTGGGATGATTGATTCTTCTAGAAATCAGAGACTAATGGGCCATTCCCATCTGTACCGGGTCGGCCCGGGCCGGGTAGCGTAGGTTGTTTACATATCTGGGTGGTCTGGAATTTTCCCGGGCCAACCAAGGCTCATTCTCAGCCCTCTTCTCGAGGGGGTCTGCTTCAGGCCGACCAGGGCCAACACACCCACTGCTGACAGCAAATTCACACCTTCCATTAGAGCAAGCCTCTGATTGGTGGGTAGAATCAGCCCACATGGGCTTAAGACAAGGATGTGTGAAATCAACCGGGCCAGGCTGGGGCCGACTGGGGCTACCCGGCCCGGGCCGACCCGGTACAGATGGGAATGGCCCATATATTGTGTTTGACATGTGGGCTACTTTTATTAGTCTTTTATTTATTTTTTTTACAGAGCCATGTTTAACCGTACACAAAGCTAACCGTGTTGACGTGCTTACTCATAAAGCTTGTCTAATTGCACAACCAAGTCTAGCCTACTTGGTCTGTATCGCTGATGTAGCACCACTGCCTCCTTCAAAACAAACAATGCTGAGAATTCTAGTAGAGAATATTACTTTTTGAACACATTTAAAGTTCAGCACAGACTGCACTGTTTGCTCTGCATGAAGGCTTGGTTATATTAGGGAAGCTTACAACTGTGATGAACCCACAGGCTCAGTCATCATGACGCTCACTAAACTCCACATTGGCCACGATGATCCTTCTGATTTCCAAATATTGGGATTTTTTTTGGTTTCAGTTTGAGTTTTAAACCTTTGAGACAAAAAGCTTTGTGCCTTTTTAAATATGCGAATACATTTTTCATAAATTGTGCGGCCATATTGTTAACAGCACCAATTCCATATTTATATTTAGCACATACTGCTGCCATGGTTACTCACCAGCATGCGTAGAGGTCTGGAAAGAGATGGACATGTTGTAAGGACCTGTCAGAGAGAAATAATAAAGATTACTTTAAGGTTAACACAAATATCAATATTGATGAAATACTGTAGGTTCACAATCTGGAACTGGGTGTGTTTTGGTCCTCAGGTCCTGAATTATGAATGTAGTCCAGCAGCAGAAAGTACCTTCAGAAACACACTGGTGTAGATTCAGTCATCCAGGGCACGATTACCCTGAGACTTTAATGGAAAGCAAATGGACTTCTTTGGTGATCTCGAAGATAAATACAACTAATGTAAATTGAATATGTCCTTTTTTTTTCTTCAAAAGCACAGTTATCAAAAAACTCAAGATTGACATTCAGACATCACAGGTGCCAAAGACTCATGCTCATCATCATGTTACCAAAGGGTATTCAATCTCAACAACAAAAAAAAACATGAATTTAACCCCACTTCAGTTTGGGGGTTTAGATGTCCTCCACAGGATCGTCTCCCCCTCAGGTTAGTTACATGTGGGCCTTTAAACTGGCTCAGAGTGTTACCATACACGGTTAAGTGATGGCCAGACCTAATCAGTTGGGTCTGACCCTCAGTGGGATGGTAAACAAATGGTTTATGCAAAACTTGTTGCAATATCTAGTCATATTATAGTATCTTTACAACCTCTAGACAAATAGAATAAATCACAAATAGAAATGTTCATGATTGCTGCCCTCACACACGGAACAAAGGCATGTTGTACATTCACAAATAAGTTTTATTTCAATATTTTATACATTATAACCATTTCCAACACATTTTTATATTATAATAAAATGACTCTTTCCCTGTTGTTTACATAAGTCAGATTTTTGTATATTAAGACTGCAAAATAGTACTCATGTAATTTTTGTTGATAGCCTTTTACACAGAAGTGACAATGCATCCATTTACTTTGAAACAATGCACATTTTGAGGGTGGATAAGAAAAGGGCAGCCATAAGCGGAGAGGATACAAGAGCTCTAGTAAGACAGCAGGCTAGCAGGTAACACCACCACCACAGACCTGGGGTAAAATGTTCACACACATCCTTTGTACCACTTGGCAGACTTCATGATGCGCTTGAAATTGGTCATTTTTTGGAGTAAAAAATCACAAGAAGAGGGTGTTTGATGGTATTTCAACCAAAGTCACTTTACAGACAGCTGATTGTGTCCCGACAGAATGAGTGCCACATGAAGCGGTGCGGTGAAAATAAAAGCCAACCTAGCTTTAGGAGGAAAAATATACAACAAAGAAAACGAGACTCCAATCAGTCAATGCAACTGAAAATTTAACATCACAGAGATTTACTTAATGAAAAACAATCACTCATCCCAGAGAAATGCATAGGATTTTAGAAAGTTAATAAACCATGCTATTCCTCCCGATAACAGTTTTCTTCAGCGTCAATGAAGACATTACGGCAAATAATCATGTTCCCAGAGGACATCCCTCTTTTCTGTAGGAGACGAGCTACAAGGGACGTGAACGGAGATGGAGAAAAGAAAAATCACACACACACACACACACACACACACACACACACACACACACACACACACACACACACACACACACACACACACACACACACACACACACACACACACACACACACACACACACACACACACACACACACACACACACACACACACACACACACACACACACACACACACACACACACACACACACACACACACACACACACACACACACACACACACACACACACACACACACACACACACACACACACACACACACACACACACACACACACACACACACACACACACACACACACACACACACACACACACACACACACACACACACACACACACACACACACACACACACACACACACACACACACACACACACACACACACACACACACACACACACACACACACACACACACACACACACACACACACACACACACACACACACACACACACACACACACACACACACACACACACACACACACACACACACACACACACACACACACACACACACACACACACACACACACACACACACACACACACACACACACACACACACACACACCTTAAGGTGATTGCAAAGTCTCCAACAACATTTCATCATGAATAAATGAGAAAAAGATTTTATTTTTAAAATTGCTCTGATCTCCTCCCATAAACAAATCTTGTGTTTGCTGTTAGACTTTTTCCTTTTAACAAATTTAAACAGCAGGCTAATAAAACACAACCGCCGTGACAAAACAAAAAGATGAATACAGATTCATTACAAAATAAGCTGTGATGACTGAGCAGCAGCCCTTCAGTGCTTTACACCATCTGCAGCAGCGTCGAAGTAGGCCGAGGCTGCTATGGACCGCCGTGGTGAAGCTATGGTCTTACAGTACGATAACGACTCAACAGGCTTTTGCTGCCGTTGAGGGAATAAAAGAAATTAAGCTTAAAAAAATATTTACCCAAAAGCAAAAATGAAGGGGAGAAAACCAAAAGTGCCAGCATGCATTGTGGACCGTGTAAATGTATGCAGCGAGACCCAGAAATGTGTCAGACTTGGGGCAGCTCGATCACTCGGTGCCACGGGTGGGAGTACTGGGCTGGTTCAGGCCCATGGTTTTGCACAACCAGCCTGCAAAGTCTACCTCCTCCACCTCTGACCGCTTGATGAACGTGTGACTCTGAAAGCAAAAGGGAACTTGTTTTTAACCACATTCAGAAAAAAACAACCCAAAGATCAAGTGACCCCATAAAGACACTTACCATGAGCATCTTAAGATCTGCTCTCTCAGCTGGGTTTTTAATCAAGCTGCAGACAAAAACAATCACCAAACATATAAAGTCAGCTCAGCAAAACTTAATGTATCAAATAATATTTCTGAAAATGACCAAATTAATCCTCTGGCTTCAACAATCAAGTACAAAAAACTAAAAGTCTTTAAAAAAAACAACACTTCTGTTTATGGGACACCTGTAGCGCTCACCATTTAGTCACAAAGTCCTGGAAGTCACTGGTGAAGACACCGTGGGGCAGTTTGGGAGGGGGCTGCAGAAGAAGCAAAAGGAAAACATCAGAACGACTGCAAGTGTGTGTTTACGCTGCACAAACCGGTTATTTAATCCAGACCTCATTCACAATGTAGTCCAGCAGTTCAAAGATGGCCATGGCAGGTCTGCTGTCCATCCCATGTCCTGCGAGTTACATCAACCTTTTATAGCAAAACTGCTTCATGATCTGAATTTCACTTAATCTCATCTGTGAGCATCTTACCACTCCCAGGCCGGCCTGGAGGTCTAGGCCTCTGTGTGTTGCTGTGAGCCTCTCCCTCTGCCCCGTCCATAATGGCACGACCAAAGATGGCCTCCAGCTCTTTGGCGTCTGGTGGGGGGATGGGATAGCGGCCGATGGCCAGCTCCACCAAGGACAGGCCCATGCTCCACACGTCAGACTGAACAGAGTAGTGGGTGCCCTGCAGTCTCTCCGGCTGTTGAGAAACACACAACTACGTCAGAGAGAGAGCAGGTAGAGCCAAGATGCCAGGGGAGGGAGAGAGTGTCGGGCGAGAGGCCGAGGAGAGACGGCACAGGAAGGAGGAGCAGAGGGGGTGCTGGCAAGAAACGTTCGGGTGTGGCTGGGGGAAAAATAATTCATCATAAAAGGAAGAACAACTTTGGATGACTTGTTGGATGTGAGCGTGCAGAGGCGTGCGTGTGCTGACAACAAGCAAAGGTCATGCCCTCCGCAAAAGTGATGCTTGGGAAAGGATGTAAATGGAACGCGAGAGGAAAGTAGCTTGTGGCGCCGCATCCAGGTGTGGAAGATTCAGGACAAGAGAGAGCAAGCGCTCCTAATGCCAAAAAACCCTTTCCAGGGCACAGCTTTTGCATCTTGGCAGGGGAGTAAGGGTAGGTCTGAAGACAGGAAGGAGATGGGTGGGACCAGCTCACAGGAGCAAGGGAAAGTGGGGGTAGGGCCAGAGGAAAAGGGGTGGGGGCGCAAGCGTGCATAGCTGACTCACCGACATGTAGGAGCGAGTTCCAACAAAGGAGTTGGCCATGGAATCTATGAGCTGGCCGCTAACGCCAAAGTCACACAGCTTGATCTCCCCACGGGAGTTGACCAGTATGTTGGAGGGCTTGACGTCTGTATGGAAGAGGGGACAAACGCAAACAAGTCAGCGTTCCAGTTTCAGAGACCACAAGCATATTTTAATACTGTACATTTTACTACAAACCACCAGAGATTTATAAACACAGGTAGTAAAGGGGCAAAATGCATAAAAATATTACATTTACATATATACTTTTAACTAGGGCTGCCCATCAGCATGCATATCACAAAGAACAGATAAAGCATGATGTTTTTTAACAAATCAAATAGAGCTCTTCACCCATTTGGCCAACTGGGTGGGTTCTCATAGGTTAGATGGCCGCCCCCGAGGTGGACAGCACTTCATTTTGATGGTTAGCAAACACCCGAGTTCAGCTCTTTCTGCGGATTCTGTTTTTCCTGGGATCCACTGGTTGCCTTTTCTTGTTCATTTTTTTTTTCCCTTTCCTCACATCTTTTGCTCTTCTCATTTTTATGATTTTTTTAAAATTTCATTGTTTTTGATTATTTTTGTCCCCCGAGTTAAGTTTTTATTTATAGCAAGTAATATCGTCATCGCAATATTAAGCACTGTTATCGAATATCGCAGGTTTTCCTAATATCGTGCAGCCCTTGTTTTAACCATTTAACTTGATAAAGATTTCCAATTTGCCTGAATATGCAAGAGCAGTTTTCCAAGGTGCAAGGGAGCTGGACCATTTCTCCATTCTGGAAAACTTCTAATCCATAGGAGGATAGTGGGAAGTTTAAATTTCCTCCACACCAGCTGTTGCAGGACACTTCATTATAGAAGATGATTGTTGTTGAGCTGCAGACTGAATTCACCTGACTAGCATGTGAACGACCAATGAGCCTTAACACCAACTGTGTTAGTCTAGGACAGGGGTCGGCAACCTGTTCCCATCAAAGAGCCATTATTCCCCGTTTCCCACAGTAAACAAAACACTGGGAGCCACAGCAGCCGTGGCGTTGTGGGCGGGGCCTACCCTCAGACAGCAGAGAGCTGCTTTAACCAATCACAACAGGTGACAGCAGCCAGTACCGGTCGCTCGTGTACGTCAAAGTTATATTTCATAAGATGATAATCAATAAAACGATTTATATAAAGTGGATCCAGAAGTTGTAACCCGTCTCTGCCTACAATATTTTGATATTTTTCACCCTGTTGGTGGTTTTACTGAGCAGGTGCCACTTTTGTCATACGTTTCTTTTTAAAACATGTTTAGACTGTTCAGAATACAAATCCAGGCTCTGTCACGTTTGATTGTTGTAATTAAACTTTGTAGGTGGGGAAGGTCAGAAAAGGATCCGATCATTTTGTTTTTCCCTCATTTACAGTGACGGAGATAACGGCGCAGTGCGCCTGGCTCTGGTGTTAATCCAGTTAAATTATATCTCTTTGCAACTATTTTCACAAGAAAACAGAACAGTTAAAAGCAGGGCTTGTGTTGACCGGACAGTTCCCGTATTTGACAGTTTATTTTGACGGAGAAAGAATAGAAAGAATTACCCCGACGCATGAATTACCCTGACGCATGCAGACGAACTGACATTTTATTCATTTCGCACATCGCAGATGTAGCTAAATCACTCAAAAGATTCCCATCTAAACATCCGAGATGGACACTGCTCAGCGCAGCTCGCTGTCAGCGCGCACGTACGGTGCACAGCGAGCTGAAGATATGGAGAGCGGCTTGGAGCGCGTCGCAGAACCAGAGCGCATGCAGGAAGATTCCTCAGACTGAAGAGAGACTTGTCACTTAGAAAATGTTTCCTGATTATGAAACTTTGGCTGAATAGCGCTTTTTCCTGTCTCCAATGTGGCGACACTTCCAGGAGCCGTCTGAGGAGAATCCCTGAATCTCACATCCTCGTCAGCTCAGAAAGCGCCTATGATTACGCACAAGCGTGACACGTCAACCCGGTCTCACAGTAAGACCGGGTTGGACCTGTTCAGGTTTACACAGACAATCTTTACATTTAGAATTGGCATACAGATGTAAAATTAATGCAGTAAAATATAAAGCATTTTATTTAAATATCCATTCATTATTTTACAAGCACAGAGAGCCGCATCAGATGGATGGAAGAGCCGCATGCGGCTCCAGAGCCGCGGGTTGCCGACCCCCAGTCTAGGAGGTGATGTACTGGAGAATATCCAGTACACCAGATGTTTCTGACAGAAATCAAATGCTGCCTTTTATAATCTATTACAAGAGCAAAGTTGCAGTCTGCCATGTGGTGCGAGGCTAAACCTTCACAGCAACAACCCAGCTCTTGTTGAACACCCAATTTAAAACAAGCCCAGCCCCTCGCATGGGAAACTCCCTAATGGTGAGGAAAAAACAAACTACAGAATAAAGGTGTAACGGTGAGTCCACCGATCCGTCTTCAGAGGAGGAGATGGGACATGTGAGGAGTGAGGAGGCATGAAATAGCAGGAGAGCGATGGAGACATAGAGGGAAGGTCAACAGGGCGCGGCTGCTCTATAATCATATCCGAGAGGCTGTAATTACCGCCCGAGCTCACAGACGACTCCATACTGGAGTACCACCGACCCTGATAACGGCGAGACTGTCGGACCTCTGCCAGACATGGTGGGTGCTTTATTTTAAGTCACACACACACACACACATTATTCCATCACTAACACCCCAAAATAAAACCTTTTTTTCTTGAAAACCTTTGTGCACGTATGAAAGCATTAAACACACATGTGAATTTAAAAAGAGGGACACAGGAGAAGCCAACTGTGCTGCATGATAGAACCATCAGGGGAATCCTCAGCAGAAGCTATTATTAACAGACTTTTAATTTGATAGGACTAACTGTTTTTCAAACTTCAACCAGAAAACAAAGTGTTACACTTACAACCAGGAAGTGGACAAAAACCAGTGCAGCGCACAAAGTGGATGACTATTCTAGTGGACTTCCTGTATATCATGAATAAAAATGACTGCCATGCATTATTCCTGTCAGCATCTAATCAACTTAACCCTATTCAGCATCAATTGCTCTGTGGTGACTGAAATGCGGCAGTAAAGACTTTATGGAGCAAAATGAAAAAACCTCCATTACCTCTGTGCATGATCTGGTGCTTCTCTCGCAGATAAGCTAGTCCCCTCAACACCTGTAAATGAAACAGGAAACAGTTTTATCAATTAAAAACATTTCACTAACACGAGTCTACAAGCAAACACAGGAGGCCTTCTTAAAAGATGTTCTATAGGGCAGCAAGTCTACTAGTAAAATTTAAAATTAATGCAAGAGCTAAAAGTCAGAAAGAACTGTGAATCCCACCGTGTGTTACTAAAGCATGACTGGACAGCTCTAGTCAAGCAAGACTAGAAAAGGACTCGAGGAACAGTGAGCAGGCAGCAACAAGCAGACTGTACACCAACAAACCACAAGAATGTGTAGCTAAACCTCGCCAAAGTAAAACAGCTATCGAAATTCAATGGATGAAAAGATTAAAGCTGAACAAACAAGTCAACTCACAGCTATGCTAACTTTTCCAAGTATTTCTTCAGGAATTCTTCTGGCTTCCTTGAGAACCTGGTCCAAAGACCCACCATCCTGTACAGACAAAAGTTTACTTTATAAAGATTAAACTTTATTAACAAGTCACATCAACAGAACCCAGCTCCTGTGTGCGCCACCTGTTGTTAAACACATCATGACTGCATGTGCCCGTGTCAGATCTGAAAACACGGCTCAGATTTGGTTTGGTCCAAAATCCCTTTCAGCAAACCAAACCTGAACAACAGAAGTCACACACTAAAGAACAGTTAAGCACAGTAGCTGTGGGCTATTTAACAAATGATTAATAAAAGTAAACAAAAACACGGCCCAAATTACAGACCTTTAACTTTTACACTTAATGATTAGCCCCAGACGATGATTAGACACGACACCATTTTATAATTTACAGCGATTGAGCCAAAAGCTGAGCAGCTTCTTACCTCTTTGACCACTTTTATGAATAATGCAAAACATTTCTGTTTGTTATCCGTTAGTTTAGCATGAAGTGTTAACTTGATGTGAATGTTTACTGCTAAATATGTTGTGAAAACTCAGTGGCGAGTGTTGCATCATCTCAAAATCAGCACTGATAAGATACTGAAGAAAAGGAAAACATGTTTGTTGATTTGATTTAAAATGCAGAAGGAAATTTAAACAGAATACGCTTAAAGAAGATGAAAAGTGATGCAATCTTTGCTACACTTAGCAGATTAACAGGATTTGTTGCACTGGTATAGTATGAAGCAATGAAAAAAACTCTTGACGCCAAGGAAATCTAAAAATCACCATTAAGTTAATGAAGCCATTAATGTTTCATACTTAATGTCTGAAGAAAGCTTTAGAGACAGTCAGTCTCTCTCACCATGTGCTCCATGCAGATGCTGATCTCTCCATCACTGTAAAAGGCTCCATAGAAGCCCACGATGTAGGGAGAGTTGCATTCATGCAGCACCTGCAGCTCTCGGATTATCTGGTTTCTGATGGCAGGCTTGATCTCCAGGTGGATTAACTGAGAAGGAAATGGTGAAACCATCAATTTCCGTACAAACGCATCGATCAGGGACAAAATGACAAGTGGGACAATCTGCATGCACACTTCAAAGCAACCAATGAGAGACATGCATTTAAGTTACATCATTCAATCTCTGAACGCTTTGAGGAAACATCAGTGGACACGTCTGCACACGCATATGGACAAGTTTGAGTTGCTGCAGAATTTCTGAGAGGGTCTGCAAACATATACTGGATTGTTCCAGCAGGTTTGGAAGTTTTTTTAGTTTAGGAAGGCCGTTTAGGTTTTGTGTTAGGCAAAATGTCAAGACTTGCAATAAACTAGAAACAGGGTTAAAAAAAAAATACAAAAACAAAAAACCCACCCGTTATGACAAATCTGTGTGTTTGAACTGCCAGTAAATGCCCTCACACATGACCTTTGTATTTTTCCCAACACTCCTCTTACAGAAGTGTCACTGAGGATTTATTTGAAATAAGTGGTTCCCATGTAAATGTTCACATTTAATGTCAGAGTTAAACGGAGTTTAATTTTGGTGAAGGACTAGAATTCTCTGGTCACCACCATGTGTAGAGCTGCAAACGAGGGTTGCGATGTTTCAAAACTGCACTGTAAAACCAAGAAAGGCTGCACTCCGATGTTACTCGGGTAAAGAAACGCAGCACCAAAAGGAGCGAAACAACGACCACATCAAAGCTAAGAGGCAAATGTCACAAAAGCATACAAGCAAAACGCTGGCATGCCTAATCTCGCTGGCTTCATCTCCTTCCGATCGTCCCACTTCAGCTGCAGAGAAACACCCAAAGGCAGATGATCACCTTTCGAGCCATGACCAAACCCGAGGGTTTGTGGCGAACCTTGTTGACCACTCCTCCGTTTCCAGCACCCAACTCACAAATCGGGTCAAAATCTTCATCCTTCAGCTCCCCGACCTGGGCTTTCTGGGTGAGGAAAGCTTCTAGACGTTTTCTTTGCTGCTCATCGAGGTCCAGTTCACCCAGCTTCTTCTGCAGAGCCTCCAGGTTGGCTCTGATAAGAAAAGACAAGCATTAAAGATGAATAAAAAAAAATAGGGAATTTTATTTTTATCCTGATGTGCAGGTCTTATCCGACATCTGGAGCTGTCCTACAGCAGCTTTAGGCAACCAAGCAGAAATCAGTTCACTGATTGTGTGTTACTTTAAAAACTTTTACACAGAACGTGTATATTAACACACCAACAAAACACAATGACAGTTTACCGTCGGTACTTACTCTGATGCAGCATCAATGGTGTTAGAGGTGGCCTGTCCCTCCCCAATGGGCGTAATGTTGAGAGGCACGGGTCTTCTTTTAGGAGCCATTTCTAAATCCCCTAAACTAAGAACTCCCTCTCTGTAAAACACTAGATTTGAGTAAACTGGGCTAATCCGACCTCGCCCGTGCTCGAGAGTCCGTTCGAAAAAGCAACAGGAACCGCTCTAAGTGGCTAGTTACCGTAAGCAGAGATTATACACTTTTTGGAGCATGTCACTTAGCTTGTTTGCTAAAACCCAGCATGCCGATGTGCCCTTCAAACGTCGGATAGCTTTGTCGGTTCATCTATAGGATTGTGTAGTGACAGGTGTTCTGTATTCAGCTCCTTGTCGGGTTTTCTACCTGCTGCTACTAGCCATTAGCCACATAGCCACTGCTAGCTCCAGTGAAAATATGCGCCTCTCAGCCGTAAATATGCAGCGGTCCTCGTCTCGAAGTGCGTAGAAGGCAAACAGCTCGGATAGACCGAGCCGGCGGACTTGTCTAAATTGTCCCCTTGTGTTTTAAGAGGTGTGCAGAGGGTCTGAAACGTTCCAGAGCCGCGGTGCTGTCCGCTGGTGCCTTCTTACAGGAAGCAGCAGCCTGTGAGAAACCCCACAGGGGAGAGCCCTGCTGCTTCTGCTTAAATACCGCGAGACTGAAACAGAGTGACGAGTTCACGCGAGAACAAGTGAAGATGTAAATTGGGGCACATTTGTAGATTGTTAGAAGATTTTAGTGTAGTTTTAAATTAAATTACGTGAAACAATGACTGTTTAAATAAAACTCTCCATCAGTCGTTTCCGAACCACGCGGAAAGGTGCATTATTGCCCCCTACTGGACACAAGGGGAAGTCAAATTGTACTTTTCATTTTATGGCTCGATCAAGAGGACCAGGCACAATTCCTGCGCAAATGAAGCGAACAAAAATATAGTAGGTCATGTAGGCATTTTTTCCTTCTGATGATTCTAGTTTTCCAGTTCAACCATTTTTCTAAACTGGCATCCTATACATTTAAATTACAGAGAAAAGACACGTTGCTGTGACAGAAAATCCCGTTAAATTGCCTAGGGTAATTTCTTTGAGTCACTTGTTGTGCACTGAACTGCATTTGGTTGAATCAAATCTCAATATCACACTGCAATGTGACCGAGAAGGGACTTAAAAACTGACTGAGGAATTGGATAGTTGTCAATAGTGCATAATTTTATATATCTGTCTGGATAGATCAACATAATATGCCACTACACTACTACTCACCAAGTATAAAATTTGAAATGTTCAGGAATTACAAATGCTGACAAAATACATTTATTTTGACTGTTAATCTGATTGAGATCATCTGTAAAGGGCAGAGATATAATTGGCTGAATCTGCCCTCGTTAAATCGTGTCACTCAAGAACAAAAATTCCAAAATTAAAGACCAGAGGCATATTTAAGAACCGGTTTTAATTCAACACATCAATAACAGCTGTTAGATTACGTTCATTTCAAATTTTACAGTTTCATCCTCAACAGGCATCAAAATGCGTCCCGATATCTGAGCGTTTGGTAGAGGACATGACAATCCACCCCTGAACCAGTCCTCAGATACATCAGAGTCCAGTGGTGCTGCTCTCAGCTTCTTAATGTCCATTTGCCTGTAAGAACAACTGGAGGCAATTCAAGGCTTAATAAAATATTATTTAAATTTTATTGTCTTTATATGAACATAAAAAACAACACAAAACATGTACATCATGGATAAGCCTCTGTCCGTGCTACCTTATGCATCATTAGAAGAGGAGATGCCACTAAAAGACCAGATTCTCAGCTGTTTCACCTCCAAACGTGTCTGGCTCAGTTCCACAGCAGCAACCCAAACCACCTCATCTCCAACCACAAGGTTATTGGAAGTTTAGAAGATCCACTCAGGAAAAAAACAAAACCTACGTCAAGCAACAAATTAAAAGAATGTCAATTTCATATGGAAAGTATTTACTTACAAAGTGCCAAATTAAAGGCATCACTAGTTTTTCCATTCGACTTCAAAGAGTTTTATACTTTAAGAACAAATGTCAGGTTATACAGACGTGGGTTTGTGTGGACTACCAAAACGTTTTCATCTGAACTTTGACTGTTATCTGTCAAATGAAGGGGAGAGACTATGGAAGACAAGATTTGACGATCTTTTCCCAGTCATCAACAGCGAGGGTCCAAATCAATGAGTGACTGTTTGTTAAACTGAGTGACACAAAGGAAAAGCCTTTGAGCAGAATCGCTAGTTTCACCATTTCAGACTTTTTTACGCAAGACACGGGACTGGACCTGCTACTCAACCGTCTCTAGAAGCAGAGTTACACGAATCCCATCTGGATCCTGCACATCTAGCCTGAGAATCTGAGGAGCAGCCGTCACATATTTACAATAATATTGCAGATAAGAGATGAATGTGAGTTTTAATCCTTCAGAATGTAGGAAATTAAGTTTTTTAACACACATGTATGTACTGAAGAAGCTGGCAGAAGCCGCTCTGGTCAAACCGAGCAGGACCACTTGTAATACAACTGAATTGAAACCGTGACTTTGTGCTGAAGCAAAATACCCTGAAAACATCTTCGCCACAGGCTGAATCGACTCAGTGGAGGAACGAAGCAGCAGCGCTCAGAAACGGCACGCTAAACGCCCAGATCCCAGCCGTGGAGGTGTCCTGATTCTGGAAAATACCGGCTAACGCTGCAGCCTAATGGGATGCCATCAAACCGCAAACAACTGTTAGGAAAATGCAAAGAAATTAAATAGAGAACACAAAAATGATATTTAAAAAAATATATAAGATAACAGCACTTCTAGAGGTGGATTGGTTTGTTCTTTTGACATCAGAATGTACAAATGAACAGATTCAAACGTCTAGAAACGATCAGCTGGCCCGAAAACAAACAGTCCCAAGTTCCTCTGCCTAAGCTTCACAACCATTTCCTGTCTGGGAATTCCGAACATATTTCTGCTATGGCAAAGAGTCGACACGTTCACTCTGTTGCTTTTGACATTTGCTCTAACGCTTTACATCTCCTGGCCCAAATGCAATGGCCTGGTGATCCACACAGCTGCTCTCTTTCCACCAAGTTGATTATATTTTGTGTTGTTGCAGCGGCAACATGGCTGCGTGGAATAAAGGGAACTAAATTATAGATTTAAAACAGAACATCTCCAGTGTTAAACAGGGATCTGACTCAATTCCTCCGCCCTCCACTTCTTCCAAAGCTACTCCCTGGTCAGTCGGCTAACTTTTGATGACTGAGGTAGGTTCTCTTTGTCCAAAATAAAAATTGAAAGCATCACACACTGACTTCTGCCCTTCCACAAATTAAAAGAATGAATTATTGAGGGTTTGAATTAAATTCGTCTATGGAAAAATTTTACATTTCTATCACACTTGGGATATACCGGTCAGGTCATTCACGTTTCCTGGCGTTTATTTCTCGTAAATCTTCATTCCAAAGCTACCGAGGGGCCTCTTTCCTGTTCGTCACAAGTGACAAAAAAATCAGAAGCAAGCATCTCACAGCTAAAAGATCCTGTAATTCCAAGTCTATACAAATAAAGGCAGGACGAGGGAATAGTCTAGGAAGAGAGGAGAAAAGGTGGATGTGGTGGCGGGGTGATCCGACTGACCCGTCTCTTGAAGAGGCAGGACTGCACAGATACTCACAGCAAGGTGACGAATGAAAAAAAAAAAAGTTGCTTCCAGAGATGTTCGGTACAGAGAAGCTTCGTCCCTCTGGGCTGAAGCTTGTTGGTTTAGTCTGAATTTAATCTAGAGCTGCTAAAAGGCTCTGATTTTGTTTTTTTTGGGTGGGGGTTGTTGCATCTAGTGAATTACTGTGTTCCTGCCTTCAGCTCTCAGCCCCCCGCCTCTCTGTCAGTCTGTGAGGGGACAGAGCTGCAGGGTCAGTACGCGGTGACCAGGTCCTTGTCGTAGTTGTACCGCCCTCTTTTGGGGGTGGGACTGTCGGCGCTGTCCTCAGTGTCCTCGCTCTCTCCTCCAGCCCCTCCCCCCCCCTCCTCCTCAGAGGAGTCGTCTAGAGTCAGATCCACCACTACCCCGCCTCCTGGTGCCGCCGTGGGCGCTGCCGTGACTCCAGTCATCCCCATGGAACCGTTTCCAGGCCTGCCCGTCAGACTGGTGCTGCTGTGGGCCGGAGAATGTCCGTTTGCTTCGGGAATGCCTACAGAAAGGACCTCTGTTTTAATAAAGGACCGTTTTCTGGTCAGCAGCAAAAAGAAAACAAGAGCAACAGGGTTCAAGTGGTGCTCGCTGCAGAACCACAAAGGTGGGGCTGCACCAGAGTCAGCCCCGCCCATTCCATCAGAGTCAGTCCAATTCCTTCCAGTTGTTAGACTTGATAGCATTCTGGAACCAGAGGGTGTTATAGCTAATATCATCTAAAATGCAAGATTGAGGACGGAGTTGAGAAGTTAATTGAACCGTTTTTGTAAAGGTTCCATAAAATAAAAATTCTAACTTTTGGAACTTTTAATCATGTTATATTGTCATTTCCTCATAAGAAATATGCCAAAGCCATTTTTGGCCTCATTCATGCATTTTCCTCCCATCTCAGCTTCAATTTGGTCTCCTCCCCCGAAGCGGGTCTGGTCTTGGTTCTCAAATCTGGATATTCTGTGAATTTTCTGATAAATTATTTAAAGACACACTAGAAGGCACAATTACATGTAATGCCACTTGCTTTTTTTATCAGATGAAGTGGTTCTGGAATCAGATTGACATGCAGTTTTGCGCAGGTTTGCCTCCCAGTAGCGGCAGTTTAAAGGTCGTTTATAACCCTATTTCTTCTTTTCTAGCTACACTTGCCAGTACTATGTTTTTAACCATTTATTGGTATACCATTTAAAATATAATGACTAGTGTGTTTGTTTTTTATTTATTCGTTTATTTAGCCAGTGTGAGTCCATTTGTGAGCAGAGTTTCAACTAAAATGCTGTTTAGGAACGACCAAATTCAAATAACTTTTAGAGAACATAAATATTTTGCAGAAAATAAACATTACAACTAAAATATAACCAAATTAAATGTTTCAGCTGGCTAAATAGATTGCTGCCGACCCCACCGAGAGTCGAACCAACATCAGCTGAGAGGAAAGCAAAACTTAAGTCAGACGATCTTGCCACTAGACTACCAGAACCCACACAATAGCTGTAAACGCTGTTGTAAGCCCCTTTTGTTAGAGCGGCTGTGAGCAGATATTCGCTAAAAGAAACCTTTTTATTTTGGGATATATTCAGGCTTGTCATGTAGCAAGTTATATTTATCTAGCTTAATTGGAGCATAGAACATAGCATTAACATTTGTAAACTAGTAACAGCTGTAATTCATGTGGGTCGGGTTAGTTTGCGATAAAGTAGAAAAACAAAAACAGAAGAAGTCAGTGGGCTAGGCTGAGTTTGCGTGAATGGGCGGGGCTGACTCTGGTGCAGCTCCACCGTTGTAGTTCTGCAGCGAGCACCCTCTCACGGGGTTTGACACCTACATATGTCAACAACAGAGTACTCTGGTGTGCTGCTGCGTTCTCTTTCCCTCTCCTTATCCTTCTCATCCCTGATGGGTTGCCAGGAGCCGTCTGTTAGGTACTCGATCTCCTCGATGTCTTCATTCGTCTCTTTCAGGATCTCTGACAATAACCTGAAACACAGCACTAGTATGAGGAGCCTCGAAAAAAAAAAAACCCAACATGAATACAAACCCCTAATGGGAGTCCAGGTCATCCGCTTTCATTTGTTTATTCGACTAAAGACTGCTTTTCATGTACTAATCACCCATCATGCTGATTATTCACTCATTAATACTGCTTTAGCCTAGCCTAGTGAACTAGACCAAATTCTTGCTGTGCAAAGTTTGGTCTAGGAACGCTCCACTGGAACCTCTGCAGCCCCAACAGCATTCTGGCTGGCCAATCGCAGCTCTCTAGAGGGGTTTCAAACACATAAAGAGCTGTGATTGGTCCATAATGGTGGGCCAATCATAGTGCTCTATCTGCTTAGTGGACAAATCACAGAGCTTTATCCGCTTTCTGGGCCAATCAGGGCACTCTATGTGCCTGGTGGGTGGGATGATGCAACAGAGTGAAACAAGAGTATGTCACATTCATTGTCCAGTGGAATGCGGAGATCATTTGAAAGACAACGGTAGAACCCGCCCCACAACCGAGAGCCGTCAATGGAGCGTTGCCAGACTAAATAATACATTTTACTAGCTTTAGCCAGTGTGAAGGGAAAAAGTCTGAATCTGAAGAAATACTGCACACCCACCATCCAGATTGATGTGGATAGAAGCAAATGTCATCACAGCCCTTTAAAAACCGAATAGAGTTCAGGCTGCTTGCTGTTTTCTTGCTTTCATCAAAAGTGCTACTTTATCAGTGATGCAACACCCAAAAGTTACTTTAGGGACAGATTAAAACTATCCGGGGGAAGAAATTCTGACTCCCTACTTTTGCAAAAAATCTGGTGGGACTCTGTTTCTGCTCAGCTGTCCTCAGGTCCCATCACAGCACTTTATTTGGACTGAGGTCTGGACTATGAGTGGAGCATAGAAAATGTTTTTTTTTTAACCCTTTAGCATTCCAGCATCCCGCCCATGGGACAAAACTCCATAGCGTTCATTAAACCTGTAAGGGGTTAAAAGTCTTTCTGTTCGTTTTGGATCGCTGCCCTGCTGCATCATCCACATTTTAGCCAAGCTACATTTCTAAAATGTGACTACATATTTTGCTGCATCAGTAACGAGCTGTGACTCAGTCTTGTGGCCAAAGCAAACCCAAATCATGACCCCTCCACAGCTGTGCCTGACACTTGTTTTTAGGTGTTTTTGCTGATTCCGAGTTTCCTCTAGTCTTGTTAGTCCACTGGACTCTGATCCAGAAGCCTTGTATGTCTTTAGAAGCACCTTGAAATTCCTAATTGTGTTGCAACGCCTTTTGTTTAGAAGGAAAACGCTTCATCCCAATGTCGTCTTCAAACAACAAACCACATTTGTTAGGTGATTTTTCTGTTTGGGTTGTGTGGGTTGACATTTAAATGCTGCAGACTGTGAGATGTGGCTCTAGAATAATCTGCAACTTCTCCAAACATTGCACAATCTAAGCCCATAAAGAGTTTAACAGAACATCTATTGCTGGCAAGGTCAGCTGGGCTCAACTATGCTGAATGTTTTGCACTCAGGTGGATGGAGTCAGATGTTATGGTCTTTATATGACAACTACTACTTATACTCAACTCCAGTGAAAACAGTACTGGGCTTTTCCTGCTGTTTTCATTAAATAATCATGGTAAAAACATCTAAAACTGCTCATTTCAAGCCCTTTTATCACATTCATGGTTCAAAAATCATCTTTTGTTTGTGTTAAATACTTAGGATTGAAGGAGTTTTTTTTTTCTTTTTACAATGGATGTACTAAGACTCACTTGCAGTGTTGACAAAATTTGGTGATCCTTTGAGAGCCATAATAAGATGGTTTTTACATGGTAAATATGTCATGACATGTACTACACTCATCCAACAAACAGCTATTGTAACACACTGCTGCAGGGGCAGAAACAGCAAAATAGACCAAAAATTTAATGCTTTTAAAACATTTGTCACACAAAAAATAAGCTGATGAGTGATTAAATGTGCATACAAATCCCAAAAGGCACCTCTGCAAGTTTAACAATGAAGATTATTAAATTGCTTATAATATTAAAAAGAAGCAGAAAGTTCTTCGAGAGGCAAAACGAGTCGGAGCACGTCTCCTCTTACCCGTCAATGGTGAGCAGCTCAAACGGAGCAGGCTTGTCACAGACGGGGCACGTCCATGTGGGCTTCTTCTCATTCATCTGCAGGAAGAAGACTGCGTCGAAACACTGGAGATGAGCGCAAGTTAAAACTCGGCATGGTACACCGAGTCGCATCTTCACCAGCTGGGATATCAGAAAGGGGGTGGATGATGCCAGGTTAATAAAACAGCCTTTTTACACATCTGCAGGTCTGACTGAGGATGTACTTACTGGACAGATTAATGAAACTCTGAGGCCTGTGGTTGCAATTTCACTCTCTGGATCAAAACGAAGTTTGTCTTGAACTGGAAGGGTCAATTGCAGGAACATTTTTGACCTTTTTCTTGTAAATAACATGCAATAAACAAAAATAAATACAAAAAACCGCTGAAGTTTGACTTACTGCGTTCACGACAGCGGTCTGGATTCTCCACCGAGCAGAGCTTCAGCTGGTTGAAAAGGTCAGCGGCTGTGAAGACCCTCACTAAATACACGGCCACAGAGTAACGCTGGAAACAGATGTACATGATGTGAGTTTCTCAGAACTTACCAACAAACATCAGAAACTTTTACATTAAGATTTACTGTCTTCTCGTTATTCAACTTTATTCAAAACAAAGATGGAACAAGATCAATGATTATGAAATTATTTGGTCATCAACACAAGAAGCACATGTGGGAACAAGGAAACATCAAATAATTAACTAAATGTAGTTTTTGTTCTTAAACCATACAAACCACTTGATTTTCTAAACAATTTTCAGTTTTTCCTCCTAAACTAACCCACCCCTCGTTGCTCCCGCTGGTTATCTAGAAGGTCGTTTCTCATGCTAGGAGCTAACAGGAGATCAACATGCATAATGAAGCAGGACCTCTGAAACATTAATAGATCCACATGTCCCTGCATGCCTTGGTGTGCTGTGGAATCTGCCAGCTGAGCTCTAACACACATCCCAGACTAAGTGTCTGAATCTGACCTTGCCAAAGTTCCCCCAGGTGATGGTGACTCTGTTGGTGACGCTGGACAGATGCAACCAAGGAGTGATGTTAATGGGACGACAAGGACGACGGGGTTCAACTCCAGGCTTGTTAGAGGGGTAATATCCCTGTAGAGATGCAACAGAAAATAGAAATCTCAGTTAAAAAATCTGATACTCCAGCGTCTCGCTGGGTTCTTTTAATAAGGATAAAACCAAATATAATGAATATAATATAATGAATATAATATATATATATATATATTATATATATATATAAATAATAAATTATATATATATAATAAATATAATTTTGGTCCGATACAGATTTCAATAATGCTGTTATGGCCGATAACTAGGACTGGGCAATAAATCGAAAGTTTATCGTTATTGAAATTTCTGATTCTTATCGAGATAATTTTCGCTGCCAGCCGTTTCCTGATCGGTAAAGCCCTTTGCTGCCAGCGACTCTCACCATTTTTACTGTTCATTTAAGAGGCACAGAACATTGTGCGTTAGGATGATGCCGACGCCAAAACAACCAAAACAAAGAGGAGACTCACCTCTTACATCAGGAAGAATCTACGCATTTTGAGCATTATCCGATCTTTCATAATTCATTGTTGAATTGTGATCGGCAGAAGCTTTTCCGGTTTGCGCCTCACTTTTTTTTACAGCAGTGGCCCAAAACGATCTCCTAACACATGGATTTTCTGCTTCCCGATCATGTGACATGTGCAGATGAAGATCGGCTTTAGAGCTGAGATGTTTGTTCTCACGATGCGGGGGCTCGTTCCGATGCCCTCACAGTAAAAATGACAACTTTAGTCATCATTGGCAGTTAATGAGTTAATAAAAAATGAAGTGTAGGTTGGCAACATTAATGTCCCTTTAAGAAGCTAACCACCTTGAGTCATGTAAATATATGACTCAACGTAATACAAATGACAGACCCATCTAGTCGACAACTTTTGTTTCCGTGCATAACTGCAGTTATCGTTCATTTAATGTTAAGAGGTGAAATCCTCAATACTGTATATCGTGATGTTGATTTTGGGTCATATTGCCCAGCCCCACTGATAACCAATATTTGCCGATACCATTACACACACTCACACACACAGATACAGACACATACACGCACGCAGACACGCACGCACACAAACACACACACACTCGCAAGCGCGCACGCCATTTATGCTTCTGAAATCAGCAGATTTTGTATTGTGTGAAAATTGTGCAAGCTGTATTTTTGAATGTCTGGCCATATTTCTATAAATATAACAGTCTAACGTTCACTTGTGATCTCGCCTCTGACACAAAAGTTAATCAGCTCTGGCAACAGCAAGCATGTCCAGCTCTGACGTCAATGGCAAAACTTTCAAAAGTTACTAAATAAATTTATGGTTTCAATTAAAAGAGCAAAGCAAGACTATTATTTATGTAAAGTCACAAAATATCTGAATGACATGAATTTAATCATTTTATGACTTTTTTCTGATGTTAATCCATTTCCGTTTTGAGATCATTATGATTTTATGACTTTGTTTTATTTTGGTTTGATATGTGAAGCACTTTGTGATTCTATGTCTGTGATAAGTGCTATATAAATAAAATGTACTTACTTAAATCTTTATGCTTCTGCTACCATCTGTCTAGATTTCTATGCTATGATTTAGTCAATTCACGCAATAACAAGCAAGGAGAAAGATATCAGCGTGTATCCAAAAGGTCACAGGGTTGTTTTCTGTTATTTTTAACTGACTTTTTGAAGTTTGTTTTGCAAACCAAGATTTTGCCAGTAAGCAATGTGCTAAACTCCATGTTGTTCTTTGTGTTGTCTTAATGCCACAAATGGTGTGCCTCAGGGCGCTGTATTAGGGCCAACACCTATCATGACTAACGATAACAATTTGAGGCATGGTTTTGAGCCTATAATTTCACCGACCGACAACGTCCTGTTTAATCCGATTTTCATGTTGCTGCAACTTTTCCAACTGTTTTCATGTCTTAAAATAAAATTAACATTACATTAAAATGAAATGTGATTACAGTTTTAAAAGGTACCGAGTTACAAAACACATGCAAGCTGAAGTAAGGACATGTGTGAGACATAAGTGTGATTTTACAGAAGTGCTCAGGGAGACTTATTTTAGGAATGTCTGTTTACACAACATGTAGAAAAGCCTCTGCAATGGAGAGAAACACCACATATAAGGTCATCAGTATGAGAGTAAAAGCAGAATAATTTAGTAATGGGTCTGATGCATGAGGTGTTTAGAATGGAAAAATTCTGACTGTCAAATTTGCAACTCAATGTTAAAAGTCTAAGTTTAAAATTTAAGTTTGTAACAAGGACCGTTTCACTATTACCATGAACCAGATCTCATTCTTAATCCTTTTATTATCGTTTTTATAGAAAAATGGCTTCCGGTCAGCCGATATATCAGGCCGACATATTCAATTATTTCTATATCAGCCAAAATAATATTTAAAAGCCAATAAAAAATAAATAAAAAACTCAAGCACCCGTGTGGCCAACGGCCACCACTACCAGACTGAAGAAAGGACCCGAAGGACCCTAACACACAATTTTTTAAAATGTTTTGAGTTTGTTTTATATTTGAAGTTCAATAAATACCGTATTGACCTGAATATAAGACACGTTTTTTTTCATTGAAAATAAATTTAAAATGTGGGTTTGTCTTATAATTGGGGACTAACCATTACATGTCCGTAAAAGCAGAGGGCGCCAGGCTGTATGTTCTCAACAGAAGAAAAAAAATTGAGATGAGAGGTCCAGAGCAGAGTGGACCGAAAGTGGGGCATGTTAACTTATTCACTCCCAGCCGTTTCCTGATCAGAAATGCCCTTGCCAGCGTTTTTCAGTGTTTTCACAGTTTTTTTTAAGAGTCACCGAACATTGATCTCTATGATGATGTCAATGCCAAAACTACCAAAACAAAGAGTAGACTCACCTCTTACATCAGGAAGAATCTGCGTGTTTCGAGAGTTACCCGTTCTTTCATGATCCGTTGTCAAATTGTGATTGGCAGAAGCTTTTCCGGTTCGTGCCTCACTTTTTTTTTTACAGCAGCGGCCCAAAACGATCTCCTAACACATGGATTTTCTGCTTCCTGGTCATGTGACATGTGACGTATGCAGATGAAGATCGGCTTTAGAGCTGGGATGTTTGTTCTCACTGTGCGGGGGCTCGTTCTGACGCCCACACAGTAAAAAAAATGCAAATGACGATTTAAGTCGTCAATGACAGTGAACATACTAAGGCAGAGTTATGCGAATTTTAAGATGACGGTGGTCAATTCAGCAGAGGCGTCAAACATTGCATGCATGGATGCCTTGGATGGCAGTGAGGATGCAATTCTGGGAGGAGTCAGCAGGTGTAGCGATCTGATGGTGCACCGGGACCGCAGCAGCATGGGCGAGAATGAGAGTGAGTACGTGCAGTGAGGCAGAGGGCGTCTGAATAAAAGCCTTATTTGACTTTTGATTTCACATGTCAGCAAAGTTCTGATAGTTTGCATTAAAAATATTTTTGCTCAGTATTTGTTCTCAAATTTTCAATAAAAATAGTTTATTTAAAAGGTGATTTTTATTTTGTCCTTTCCTGAAGATTAGTCTTGGAAAGGAGGCCATCTTATAACCATGGTCGTCCTATATTCGAGTTGTAGAAGAAAAACAGGTTGAACAGACACAAAACCATCGGATGATCGAAAGGTGGACGCGTTAGTGGCCTGAGCTCGAGTCACGACACACACGCGGGGTGGGTCTGACCGAGAAGACACATTGTCAGGGAGTCACAAGAGGCTGAAGGACCATGGGGTACCAACAGCTGCACCTTGTTTGGCAAGAGAGTCAGCAAGGTCGTTTAGATCTTTATCAGTTCCGGGTGCATGGGAATGCTCTCTGACTTTACACCAACAGATCTGCATGTCATGTGATGTCGCTAGGGCATCACAAGCCATGAAAAGGTCTTGATGTTTAAAGGGTTTCCAGTTACAGGTTAAGAACCCGTTACTTTTCCAGGAAGGTAGATGACAAGTGAAACTGAGACGCACGTAGTCCGAGTCGGTGCAGATCAACAGCTCGCAGACATCATGGTCAGCAGCAAGTTGTAGCACTATCAAGATCCCAGCCACTTCTGCAAACTGTGAGGTCTGAGGACCCAACTGGTAACACCGAGAGTCTTTCTGGTCGGCGTGCAACCAACCGACACCCACGCCTGAACTAGGGATGCACCGATGGATCGGCATTTGATCGCAATCGGCCGATAGCGCCCCTATCGGTTTTGATCGGAATTTTCAAAATAGATCTAAGCAGACCGATCAGGTGACGTTTACAACAAACCGCCGCCAGGGCAAGCTTTCCCGCTTCTCACATCCAGGTCTCCTATTGGGGCGTGATCTCTTCAAAGCATCTACATTGAAAATGGCGTCACCGGTATGGAAGTTTTACAATGTGTCTGAAAAGGACAACAAATTAGCAGTTTGCAACGTGTGCGCAAAGGAGATACCCAGAGGAGGAATGCTACAAAAGAATTTCAACACAACAAACCTGATAAGACATCTGAAAGTTTCTCACACCAAGGAGTTCACCGAGTTTACAACTTTGGCTGCTGCTAAGTCGGAGAGAGAAAAGCAACGCGCCGTAGCGACACCGCTAACTCAGCTGAGTGTAACTGAGACATATAAACGACAGCAACCTTACAGCAGCGACAGCAACAAAAAGAAAGAACTAAATCATAAGGTAATGGAATTCATATGCCTTGACCATCAGCCGCTTTCTGTTGTCGAAGACATCGGATTTAAACGCCTCATTAACTGCTTGGATCCACGCTACACGCTGCCTAGTCGTAAATATTTCACCGATGAATGCCTGCCGGAGCTATATAATAGTATCTACAGTCAAATCCAAAGCCTTATCCAGAATGACAATATTGTGTCAGTCGGCTTTACGAGTGACATTTGGAGTTCTAGTGTGAGTACCATGTCGATGCTGAGTCTAACTGCACAGTTTATTGATGAAAAGTTCGAGCTGAGGAGAGTTGTGCTTCACTCACAAGAGTTTCCTGGATCACACACGGCGGCTGCCATCGCTAAAGCGTTCACAGACATGTTCCAAACATGGGGGATCCCAAAGGAAAAAGTACACGTTATCCTACGGGATAATGCGAGTAACATGGCGAAGGCTATGAAGGATGCTGGTTTACCAAGCCTGCCGTGTATGGCACACACACTCCAGCTTGTTGTGAATGAGGGTGTTTTGGCACAGCGTGGAGTAATTGACCTCATCGCAACTGGGCGACGCATAGTTGGTCATTTTAAGCATTCTCCGCTTGCTTACTCCAGGCTATACGACATTCAGAAAGAAAGCCAACCCCAGCAGCTCAAACGGCTACAACAGGATGTCCCCACCCGGTGGAACAGTACTGTTGCTATGCTAAAAAGTTTAGTGGAACAGAAACGTGCCCTTTGCAGTTATGCAGCCGACTATGACCTGCCTTGCATGTTCATCCCTAGCCAGTGGAAATTGACTGAAAATCTGATTTCACTGCTTGAACCCTTTGACGAGCTCACACGCAAGATAAGTGAATCAACTGCATCGGCTGCAGATGTAATTCCATCCATCAAAGCCTTAACTCGTCTTCTTGAGAAAACACAGGAGACTGACCATGGTGTAAAAACGGTCAAAGCCACGCTGTTGGAATCTGTCAAGAAGAGATTCAAGGACATGGAATCTGAGCCTCTGTACACGATTGCAACCCTCCTCGATCCAAGGTGAGAAAAAATACTTTATATTTGTGTGTGTGTGTGTGTAAGATTATGCTCTGTCCCTCAGTCTAGCTTTGCTAAAAGTAAAATTTAACAATAACTTTTTGTTTTTTCTTTTCTGTTGGCATTTCTTTTCAAATTCGATTTACAAATTGGCAGTTATGTGGACAAATATAGAATAGAATAAACATGCTAGGACTGTGCTATGAGGCCAGCTAAGCCCATGACTAATAAAAACACAAGCTAAGCAAGATCTATGACATCCATCATGACAGATTAATGATTAGTTTTCCTTTTTTCTGTTTTTCTTCTAATGAAAAAGGTATAAAGACAGGTTTTTCCACTCCGCACTCAAGCCACAGAAACCCAGGCTGCTCTCTGACGTCCTGAGCCGGGCCACTGCAGTGGAGCAACTGATTGGTGAGGAGAGTTCTGCAGCGAGCAACTCCGAGCCCCCACAGAAAGTACCACGGACTGGCTTGCATGCAATGTATGCTGAACTGTTGGCTGAAGATGGCCAACATGAAGCTGCTGCTGACATCAACACCACATCAGCAGAGATTGCTCTTTACCTATCAGAGCCAGTTATTCCAGATCACAAACAGCCCCTTGATTTCTGGAAAGCCAATGAGCACCGATTTCCTGCTCTTGCACAAGCAGCACGTTCCTATCTATGTTCACCTTGCACAAGCGTAGATAGCGAGCGTCTTTTCAGTACAGCAGGACTTATTATGGATGAGAAGAGGAGCAGGTTAAGTGCAAAAAATGCTGAGATGCTTATATTTTGCAAGGCAAATCTGCCATTCATTCTGCTTGATCAGAAGTAAGCTGTGGGTGTGTCCCTAACCTCCATCCCATATTTCTGTTACCAGAAATGCCTCAGCTAAAACGAGGATAGAGCCAGGCCTACAGATTGAGCTACAATGTTTATTTAGTTTTATTTGAGTTTTTTACTGTGCACTTCATTGCCCATGGCAATCTCCTTACTCCTCTCTACCTCACCTGAAATAGGTATGTTTACAGATATAGCTCAATAGTTTTTAGTTTAATTTTGTTTATTTTTTTGCTAATGCTGTGAAATTATTTGCACACTACCGTCTGTTATCTCCCACATGCAGACAAGTTGTCTCGAAATGATATCATTTTATGGGCTACGGCTATCTTGCACTTTGAGTTTATTTTTTGACAGGGAAAGCTACATTTGGATGTTGCAGTTGCACATATGTCAGTGTTCTTGTTCTCATTTATGACATTTATTTTTTCACAAAAAAGCTTGTAGCTAAACTCCAGATTATGTCTCTAAGAAAGAGCCTCTGGAGAGTTAATTGTTTATTATGGTGCACATGATGTGTGTTGTGCACCTAAATAATTTCTCATTTCATGATTTTATTCCTTTTTCCACAGGAAAACTAAGGTTTATAGTTTACTAATTGTATCAACTCTAAGAGAGTGAGCTGTTTGTGTTGTTGCACTGCAAATGTGTTGTACACATAGTTATTGCTACAAGAAAATGTAAGCTAGTAAGCTACACTTACCCTATGTAAGCTGAGTCTAAGTTGTCTCTTAAGAGAGTCTGTAGACTAATATTGCACATTGCTCAGCTTGCAATAAAGCAGTGCTAAGTTCACAATACTTTGTTATCTCCTACTTTTCATTCTAAAAATACAATGTCAATGTTGTGTACATGAGAAAACAATATTGGAGAATCTGGATTTCGGGTTACTCGTTTAGGTGACTTTTTATTCAGACGACTATCAACTAACCCGCAGCTTACAATTTCTCCATTTACTTACAAAAAAGTTCAGACCAGAGTGGCTTTCCTTAGCATAACAGCTGATTCATGGAACCGGAAATAATCCTCTCCACCCGCTGAACTGCCCTTTAAAATAAAACTAACACATAACATTACTCTCATATCATCATTAACTCTCTGGTACAATAAAAATAACATTAATGACAATGTTAAACCTCAACACACAGTGTTGACTTTTTATTTATTTGCGTTTCTGCACTATTTAGTGTTTAGAACCTTTAAATGATAAATGACCCGCACTTGTATAGCACCTTACAGAGTAAGGAGGACTCCAAAGCGCTTTACACTACAGTGAATCATTCATCCATTCACATACTGATGGTGATGAGCTATGATGTAGCCACAGCTGCCCTGGGGCGCACTGACAGAGGCGTTAATGTTTGAATCAGTTAAGATTGTTACTGATAGGAGCTACATTTAAGTGCTTCAGTTTTCCTGGTCATGATCATCTTAAAGAGATTTTATTAAAACAGCTAGAGTTTTCTGGTTATCTTGAAAATGTTTTACCTCTCATCCAAGAGACATCTTCATGTCTAAACCTTGGGTTCTGAGCAGGAAGCTTACACGTAGTGGTCAGAAATAAAAACACTGACTGTGCTGCAAGACTTTTTTTCTCTTAAAAGATAAAAACAAGTTTTTGTCAAAATTAATACGGACCATTTTAGATTAGGTTACATTTCCTTTATTCCCAGATTATGTAGTTTGTAGCACTCATTATAATGTTGTAGAAAATTTCTGGCCAATCCACGTGATCGGTATCGGTGATCGGTATCGGTGATCGGCATTCTTTGATATCGGTATCGGTGATCGGCAGCAAAAAACCTGATCGGTGCATCCCTAGCCTGAACTAGGTTCAGCACCGTGCCGAAAGGAACTGCCATCAACGTACACAGTTGGCAAATCCACACAGAGAGCTTGGTGAAAGTAGTGGTGGTTGGGGTTCACCAGGGTCTGGGGAGGGATAGCTGGTAGGACTGACGCGACAGCGTCGTCCGAGCAATGTTGGCACGCCCGTGCCAAGAGGACTACGGCAGTTTTGCACGTAGCGTACTTCAATGTCGTAGCTCTGAAGAGCAAGCAGCCATGAAGCAATGCGTGCGTTGGTCACCGCACCATCTCTGATGTGTTGGCTGTTAAGGAAGGTCACTAGCTGAAGTTGAGTTTCAACGATGATTTTCTGTCCACCGATGTAGCTGGAAAAGTGTTTAACCACCCACATGGTGGAAAGCAAAGCTTTTTCACAGTCGAGTATTTTAACTCAGGACCGGACAAGAGCTTACTAGCATAGGCTACGACACGCATGTCGCAGTCATATTCCTGATAGAGACCGTCACTCAAGCAGTTAGATGAGGACCCGACCTCAAGGTGGAACTTTTTGTCACAATCAGGAAGTGCCAGGCACGGAGCTGAGCATAACGCGGTTTTCAGGTCATCCATGGCCTGTTGCTGTTGCTCAGTCCACTCGAAAGGCACATCCTTTTTCAGCAGGGCAGTCAGAGGTCTCGCCGTCTCAGTGTTATGGACAGAGATCCGACCTCCAGAATAAAGTCGTCATTTGCATTTCTTTTACTGTGTGGACATCGGAACGAGCCCTCGCACCGAGAGAACAAACATCTCAGCTCTGAAGCCTTTCTTCATCCACATGCGTCACACGTCACATGATCAGAAAGCAGAAAATCCATGTGTTAGGAGATCGTTTTGGGACATTCCTGTAAAAAAAAAAGTGAGGTGCGAACCGGAAAGGCGTCTGCCGATCACAATTCGACAACGGATTATGAAAGAATGGATAACGCTTGAAACACGCAGATTCTTCCTGATGTAAGAGGTGAGTCTCTGCTTTGTTTTGGTTGTTTTGGCGTCAACATCATCATAGCGTGCAACATTCTGTGACTCTTAAAAAAAACAATAAACATGGCAAGAAACGCTGGCAGCGAAGGCCTTTAGCCATCAGGTTACGGCTGGCAGTGAATGAGTTAAAAATCTGTATTGGCCTTAAAAAAAACATTGATCTGCCTCTAATAGCAATCCCCCTCTAAAATTTTATTTAACTAATTTTATTGAATTATTTTAAGTCAAACATAAAATTCTAAAGAGATGTGCAGCTACAGGCACAAGATAAAGTCTAACAAACATCCTCTAGCTTATAACACAGAGCATGCACCAATTAAACAGCCAGTGTTTGACAATCTAAACAAAACGGTTATAACTTTTTAATCTGAAACTGTGTGATATCAGAATAAATCTGTGGAAACCAACCTACCGGTACATGACAGTAGGACTGGTTGACTTTGACAGCAATGTTGGGAGGATACTGGTCTTCCTGAACACCAATAGAGTCTGAGTAACAGATTCTGTAAAGAGAAAAGATAAAGTGAATGGTGGACTGGACAAGGGAAGTAAAATAATACCTGTCAAGCTTTTTACATTTATGGTAAAGTTCTTGTTTTTTCTACAATGTTTGAGGAAAATTCTATTTTAAAGTCAATTACAGAACAACACATTTGTGAAAAAAAGAAACTGTTCGCCTGCCTCTAGCACGAAAAGACGAACTAAACTGGTGCAGGTCTGCAGAAACAGTCCTCAAGGCTTATGTGGACCAACTATGTGTGAATCTGCAGCACCGCTTCAGCCACAACCTGACCCAGGAGAAGTCACATGGAAAACATCTCGTCTTGTAAAAAAGCTTATGTTCATGTCATCTAGAAGTCACAGGTTGACACCTCCATAGTCCCCTGGATTAACGACTACCCGACAAAAATGCCTCATTTTATGTGTCTGAGCAGGTTGTCAGCAGCACAGGAACACCAGAGGGGACTGTACTCTCACCCTTCCTTTAAACTCTGTACACCTCAGACATGTCAGTGTCCTCTCATCTGCAGAAGTATTCAGATAAATGCAGTTGTCCAGTGTATCAGAGATGGACAAGAGACCAAGGAGACACAACTGGTGGACAACTTTGTAGAATGGTGTGGCAATCATCTTAAAATCTGAACAATGAAAATGATTATTGTGGATTTTATAAGATGGATTATACCAAATAATTTTTCCATCATGGGAGAAGTGGAGATGGTGACGCAACACCCCAGGGTACAAAAAGAGACAGATCAGACTAGACTTCTCGGGGAAGCCAAGACCCTTCAGTGTTTGCAGCAAGATGTTAAATGTCTTCTGTACGTCTGTTGTGGAGAATGAAATCTGATCTGAGGCCATATGCTGGGGTAGCAGCATCAGCACCAGTAGAAAAAATACTGACTCTGTTCTCGGGGTTAGACAAAAGAGGGTGCTTCGTAACATGAAGAAGAACCATGAACATCCTCCTCACAAGACAGTAAGACAACAACAGTGTCTTCAGTCAGAAGTTTCTCCAGATCTGCTGCAACACAGGCTGTTACAGAAGATCCTTCCTGTCCACAGCTGGGGCCAACTACGATAACTATGAAGAAAGAGTTAATGAAACATCTAAATTCCCTCTGTAATTATTATTATTTTTTTAATTTATTTTAAAACCAGATTACGGAACTTACCTGAGAACCACTTGGATGGATCGGCTTCCTGGACGAATCTCACTAAGTAGACAGTGAAAAGGTAGAATTAAAATCAATGTTATAATTTTCAAACCAAATTAGCTGTGCAGAAAAATGACTCCAGATCAAATACCTTGCATTTCTGATCTGGTCTGCTTGATTTGGTGTTAATTCAAAGATACACTGACTGTCCTGTAGTTTCTCGTTGTTATGGGCAACTGTAAAAAAAAAAAAAAAAAAAAGGAAAAAGACAAATGTTTTTGAAATTGAAAACAGTGTGGCTTTTTAATAATAATCATAATAAATTATGAATAATAATAAAAATAATAGTGATGAACAATTACATATAAAAGACAAGGAAGCAACAAATGATGTGCACTCACTTAGCTCTGTTGGAGGCAGTAGGGTCTCTAAGGTTTGGTAGAAAGGCAGAGGCACCAACTTCACCTCAGCTCCAGGTGTGAGGAGCGGTTTGGAGATCCCGTTGAGGTAGTCTGCGCTCTGCGAGGTGGTGGTGGGGGAGGAGCTGAGGGACGAGTATGCAACCGGGATCCCATCTGGACGCCGCGCCGCCAGCCAACCAGTTGCCTTGGGGAAGCGTGACTCGTATAGCTGTCTGACATTCTTCAGCAGTTCTGGGCTGTATTCGGTCTGCACTAGCCTCAAAGCACGCCCCACCAGGTCCTGCTTCAGCCCACTTTTGCTGCGGCCCATTGAGGCCAGCAGCGTCTGTAGGTCTGAGACCCGGAAACTTTTGACCATGTTCTGAAGAAAAGAAGAAGAAAAAAAAACATTACAAAGGAAAATTGTAAACAATTATTTTCTGAGTTGACATGATCAGACATGACCCATGCTGGTGAACACTAAACCTTTGAGAAACGCTCAGTTTATTCTCGTTTTTGACATCCCACTCGTCGCAGCAATTAATATGCAATTTTCCAGAATGATGAGTGTTCCATGAACACGTGTACTTATCTGCTTCAATCCCAGTGTTGCCATCACTATTACACTTATAAAAACAAAACCTTGACACTAAAACTTTCATACTAAATACTTTTGTGTTTTTAAAATTAACATTCAAACAAATAACAGATTTCAATGGTAAAAACACACAGACACACACAAGTAGTGATAAGCTCATCTGTAGCCACAGCTGCCCTGGGGCACACTGACAGAAGTGAGGCTGCCACACAGTCAGCGCCACCGGTCCCTCTGAACACCACCAACAGCATGGCGTTTGAAGTGTCTTGCCCAAAGACAAAAAGGTTGAGATGAACAGAGCTGGGTTTCAAATCTGCAACCCAACTCCTGAGCCATCATCACCCCAAAAGACTTACACTTAGGACTTGAATTCTAGAAAACCGGCTTTTACTTTGACGCCAATTCATGCCTGCATGTGACATTTGTCTGTTAAAAACAATATTTTGAATGTTGACATGGCAAAAGCACCAAATAGGGAAAATGTGCTAAATTTAGTATGCAGTTTACCTCTACAAGAATTGAAAGGACCTTGTAATTATCGAGTTATAAAATTTTACAAATCTGCAACTTTGCCACTTATTTTATGAAGAAGAGATTGCTTTTAAAAAATGATATCCTTCAGCGAAACTTTAGAATGTTTAAATACAACTTGGCAAGCTACATTATCACGGCAGGCACAGAACGTAATCTACACATGAGAAACACATTTATACTAAAGATAATAAAGTGTAAACAAGAAAAAAAATTATTATAGAAGCCAATTGTTTATATCCTTTTGGAAAAGATATTATATTGCATTATACCTGACAACAATAATTTGTTAGAATAATGTAATCTACAAAAAGGATTTCTGTGATTAACTCATTTGTAAATGTAGACACAAGAACCCCGCCCCCCGGGCATATTGGTTGAAAATACATGAGAAACATCTTTACTAATTTAAATGAAGATATTTATTTAAATTTAAAGGTGTGGAACACTGAATAAAAAAAAATCTCATTTTTGAAATAATCGGTCACTAAGTTTTTCATGCAGGCTGAACATGAAAATAGTCTCCTACACCTACCTCCTGCATTGGCTTCAGATATAAAATGGGTGGTGAAACTCTAGGATCAGAAAAGCGTGACAGATCTAAGTCACACTGTCACTTAACGTTGATACTCACCCATCTTGACTGGTGACAGGGAAGGCTGTTTGTTTAGCGTCCAGAAATAAGCAGAGAACGCCTCGGCTAGTAGAAGCTAAATGTTAGCATTAGCAACTCAACAACACAGCAGAAGTCCTCCAGGCTTGTGTTATTTGTGGAGATTAAACATCAATGCTGGAGTCGGTGGTAGAGTCGCATTGCTGTCATTCAATCTGAGGTGAGGTCCAAATATCAGGAAACAAGACAACAAATCCTGTCATGTTCAGGTCAACTCTGAAGTGGCTCACTTGTAGTTTCTGAAAATGGTGCACCGGTGCTTTCCCCCCCAGAGTGCCACTTAGGCATCATTTCCTACTAGAGACCACTGCACTGTATTGATTAAACAAGTGCACCACACCTTTGATAAAAAGAGGTAATAATATTGTCTCATACTGCTCATATAAAAACTACAAAAATTATGAATTATAATTACAATTTTTTAACAACGTAGTACTTTTCTTTTAGTATTTATAGTACGGATAGCCCATCAGGACTTTTTGTCCAGTTTTTGGAGCAGTTCCTCAAATAATGTGAGGTCAAACCTAAACAATAAAGGTCGAATGCATTGGATTATTTATTGTAATAAATAAATATTGTAATAAAATCAGAAATGATAAATGGACTGCCTCCCTTTTGTTTGTTTTGAATTTTGCTCAGTATGAGGAACACTTCTGCTAAGTTCGGCCTCAGTGGGACGAGAACAAAACGCACATCCAGTCTATTTAAAGTAACATGAACTGATGTTATTACTGGAAAACACGACGGAGCCGCTTCGGACGCAAGCTTCAGATGTGCCTGCTGGTGTTGGACACCAGAGAAACACTGTTATGCTTCTACTACATTATTTACCACAGAGTTGGAACGACGGTAATAAAGTCTAAGCTGAAACTGGAAAAGTTGGTAAAGCTATGACAGAAAAGGATACCGGTACTCAATCATTGCTACCAACGTTTTGACAGGTGCACAGCTTTATAAAGCCAGCAGCTAACCACACACATATTAAATAATAAAATATAGCGTCAAATAATGAAACCACAAGAAAACAGGATAATAGAAAACCCCACATGTCTGTATGGTGGCATCATTCATTTTCGTTGTCTTCCTTCAAAGCCACTGTAGCTGTTAGCTCCTGAGGCTAGTTCTTTTCGTGGTGATTACCATACGTCTCATTTGTTCATGAATAATCTTCTAAAAGTAGCCATACACAACCCCCCGTGTGCCCAGCACCGGGGCGACTTTCGGGGATCACTCCGGCGCCCAGCTCCCATCAAACGACAGCCCACAAGCTTCACCTACCATCGCCTCCACCAGCTCGGCCGCCATCTTCGTTCAGCAGTACCGCGAGAGTCAGAAATGACGACTAGTCTTTCACCAATGAACCGCTGAAACTTTTTAATTGACGGATCTTCTCAGCCAATGAACGTGTAAGTTTTCACAGCATCCGAAACACCACGTTAGAAAATGGGTGGGGCTTTTCTTATTTAAAGATACAGTGCGCCTTTTAAAAACTACTCAAAGGCAGGTCTCTTTTCTAAAATAGGCCTCAGTGTTTATTAATTTGACATCGTGTGAATGTTCAGATAAATTTACTATGTTCCGGCTTTATAATGTTGAGTTTATTTGAACCCCAGTTTTAAGGACAGTTACAATTCTACAATGATGTAAAACAAGGGGTGGCAAGTGGCTGGGGTAGCATGGTCCATTCAAATCCTGTCCGAGCACAAAACTCCACTTCACGTTTTGTGACTATCCGTGAGATGTGGCGATAATGCTTTGTTCGAGGGATGTCCGTAATTAAGACAAAGTAACAAATTAAATAAATCACACACTTATCAAGGGACGTACGAGCCAATTTCAATCTAAAATACAAGTGTAATTTTGAGTTAAAATAGGAATTTTTCAGTCAGTAGTAAAGAAGATGCAAACTCATTTTCATGATCCAGTCCTGCTTTTCATATGTGTGCAAAGAAAAGCCTCATGGAAACAGAAAAATCAATGGGGAAATTGCAGTATCATGTAAATAGTGTGGTGCATTCTGTTCCTGCTTTGGATTGAACTGTAAAAAATAAATAAAATAAAAGTACAAAAGTACCAAAGGTCTACCGGGGGGATATTTATCAGAACATATAGTATTTGTTTAACTACAGCCATAAAAAATTATAACAAACATGAAATTATCTACTTTTTGTGCTAATTTTTTAAAAATAAAATTTCCAAACCTTTTATTAAAATGTCAGCTTCTGTCAAAATTATTATAATTTAGTTTACAACATTTAGCCTACATTCTAATGATTAAAATTACTAACCATGCAAAAATGAAAACGGCAAAGGCAGTGGTCCACGTTGTGCATATATTAAATTTCTTGTTCCATCCTTCAAACAGAAGAGGGCAATGTGGTTCATGATATGAAGAGAGGCTGATTTTATTCATTCTCTTACAGACAGAACAAATAATTTCTGTCTACCTTCTGCATCATTGCATACTGCAAGCGATAGTCTATGTGCAATAGTGTGAGTCAATTATATTCCATTGTGAGCCCATTTACGTCACTGCATCTATGGTTGATCAATACTGGCTGCTCGTGCTGTTCAAATTAGACTTTAATCTGTTTTCAGGCCACAAGAGTTGAGTACATCAAAGACCAAAGTAATAATGAAAATACATAATTTTCTATTTCTGAGCTACAACTTGAAAGTGTGATGTTTGAGGTTTTGAAAGTTTGTTGAGCTTGTACTTGTGTGTGTCTGTGTGTGTTTTTACCATTGAAATCTGGTATTTGTTTGAATGTTAATTTTAAAAACACAAAAGTATTTAGTATGAATATCAGCAACAACAAAAACATTGTGACTTCATTTATCAATTTTAATGAATACGATGCTTTAAACAGAGATTCAAGACAAACTTATACATTTTATGTCATTATTTAAAAAAACAACATTAAATCTGTAGCTACATCACAGAACATTTGAAGAAAACTGTATTATTTTGTGAGAAAGATTACAACATTATCACGGAAAGCACAACAGTTCTGTTTTATTTTATTATTAGTATAGACAAACTTCTTTAGATTCACCACATGCTCATTAGATTCTTTTACCACTTTTGCTTGTTATTTCTGTGTATTTCAATCACCTATTTTGGGTTTCTTTAGTATTTTTGTTTTTCTTTTCTTAAATTGGTATTTATTGTGATTTTTTACTTGAAATGTGAAACCTTAATTACCTTCTTCTTCTTCTTCTTATTTTTCTTCTTCTTCTTCTTCTTCATCGTCAAGTGACTTGATGGTTATATTTTCTTCCAGTATTATATTGAGTCAAAATAAACAACTATCACTGTTATAAAAGAGCCACTTAGTGACTTGAACAATTTTAGGAAGCATCTTCAAAATGTTTTTTGATCCAAAATATTACAAAGAATTAAAGG